TTCTAGGAAAATAGATCTAAATATCTCCATTACTCTTGAAAGTCTGCCTGCCAGGGGTGATAGTAAAAATCACTGATCTTTAAAGGACCACTATAGGCACCCAGACCACTTCAGCTTAATGAAGTGGTCTGGGTGCCAGGTCCACCTAGGATTAACCCTGCCTGCTGTAAACATAGCAGTTTCAGAGAAACTGCTATGTTTACTTTAGGGTTAATCCAGCCTCTAGTGGCTGTCTCATTGACAGCCGCTAGAGGCACTTCCGCGCTTCTCACTGTGAAAATCAGTGAGAAGACGCCAGTGTCCATAGTAAAGTATTGAGAATGCTTTCCTATGAACTGGCTGAATGCACGTGCGGCTCTTGCCGCGCATGCGTATTCAGCAAAAGACGGGGAACGGAGGAGGAGAGTCCCCAGCGTCTGAGGGAGCCCGGCGCTGGAGAAAGGTAAGTGTTTAACCCCCTTCCTCTCCATCCAGCCCGGCGGGAGTGGGACCCTGAGGGTGGGGGCACCTTCAGGGCACTATAGTGCCAGGAAAACGAGTATGTTTTCCTGGCACTATAGTGGTCCCTTAAAGTGATGTTCAAGCCTAAATGGACACTATTAGTCACCAAAACAACTTTAGAGTAATGAAGCAGTTTTGCTGTAGAGATCATGCCCCTGTCTCACTGCTCAATTATCTGCTTTTTAGGAGTTAAATCACTCTGTTTATGCAGCCCTAGTCACACCTGCCTGCACGTGACTTGCACAGACTTCATAAACACTTCCTGTAAAGAGAGATTTAATGTATAAACTTCCCTTATTGCACATTCTGTTTAATTTAGTATTTCTTATCTCCTGCTCTGTTAGCAGCCTTCTAGACCCTACATGAGCCTCCTGTGTGTGATTAAAGTTACATTTACAGAGCTTTACATAAGTTTCTAAAGTAAGTTAACATCTGATTGAAAAACTATTTTTAACATGCAGTCTTTGTCAGTCACAGCCAGGGGAGGTGTGGCTATGGTTGCATTAACAGAAACACTAGTGATTTAACTCCTAAATGGCAGAGAATTGAGCAGTGAGACTGCAGGAAAGTGATCTATACACATAAACTGCTTCATTAATCTAAATTAGTTTGATACCTATAGTGTCCCTTTAATTGATTTTAGCATGAATGCACCTATTTATGTGGCTTTGTGACTCAATGTGAATATGGTTTCTATCTATCTATCCACAAATATATCAACAGACATTTTTTGCAATCCTTAAATAAATAAATACAAACCTGTATCCATTAAAATTATGATGTAAAATAAAGTAGCTGTTCTCCAGGTCCAGATCATTTTACTCTACAACTAGAGTGTAATTTAAAACAGGATGAAGTAACAAATATGATATAATATGCCAATCACATGGATGGTCCCTGCTCATCGCAATAATTCTCCTGTCACTCTTGAAACAACAGGAAATAAAAGTAACAGGAGCAGATCAGAACGGTGGTTATATAAATGTTTTATTAACAACTAACTTCAACTCTTCAGGCCAAAAGAGGAAAATAAAAATCTCTAAATATTTTATTGAATTATTTTATCCAAATTAGCTATTTTAGAAAAAAAAAAGTAAATTTGTTTTCTCCTCTCGAAAAGCGGCTGTTTATAGGGACACTTTAGGAATCAGAACCACTACAGATTAAGGGGCAACTGTCATTAAATATTTTTTTTTTTTTAAGTATATTGATTTTATCTGTCTGAACAACTATTTTGTATCAGACTGTTATCTGACCAACTACTGCTCAACCTAACTTATTAGCTTCTCCAGTTTCACAAGGATCAGTCACAGCAATTTAGATTGAGCAGCAGTTGGTCAGATAACAGTTGAGTCTGGCTCATCATGGCTGCCAGATAAAAAATATTTTTTTTGCAAAATAAAAATCAACATACACAATTTAAAAATATATAATGAAGTTTCATTAAAATTTTCTAATCACTAGAAGTTAAAATTTGATGGCAGTCAACCTCTAATGATGTATTCGTGGTGCAAACAGCCTGTCCCTGGAGGATGAACACTGCAAATGCTGCCTTTTCTTAGAAAAGGAAGCTTATACACTGCTGCCTGTGACCCCCTCTAGTTGCTGTCACTTCAATAGCCACTAGAGGTACTTCCTTGGTTTTGGTCATGCAAAGATTACAGGACCGATGTTCAGTGTCTTCACATTATTCATGGAAACGTAGAACACTCCATACTGAAATAATGCATGCTGATTGTCTTGTGGGCACAATAGTATTCCAATGCTTCCTTATGGGGAAGCATTGGATTGGCTGAGATCACCAGGATTGCTCAGCCAAGGAGGCTTATTAGGGAAATGAAGGTACGTAAATCTCTTTTTTTTAATTTATTCGTGGGGGGGCTGAACCTAAATAGTTACTGAAACACTATTGAGTTAGGAATATATGTTCGTATTCCAAACTCTTTCTTGATCTTTTAAAGCAGAACATTCTTTGTCTTAATAAAGTCGGATTAACTATCTTTCTTCCTTACCCAGGTGCTACCCTGTGTGTCATATGCCAGGATCGCAATTCTCTACGTCAGACGGTAGTTCGGCTTGAGTTAGAAGAAGAATGGCAATTTCGGTTGCGCGATGAGTTCCAAACCGCCAACGCTAAGGAAGACAAGCCTCTATTTATCCTGACTGGTCGCCATGTCTAAACATGTATCATATATTTTTTACTTTCACTATTATGTACATTATCCATCTACAAAATTCTGATAAAGAATATGACCCATTTTTCTGCACTGGATTAAAACGGTATTATTCAGAAGCCCGGAAATATTTTTCAGCGGACATATGGACAATGCTAGAATTCTTTCTGGTGAATGTTAGCCTATCTTGTATTTAATATATTTGTATATATTTTCAGCACTAAGGAATATTTGTATTTTACCTGTATTTTATTAATTTTTTTTTAGCTAAGTATTTGTGTTATTGATGGCATACCTCATACTCTTTCACTGTGTTCATACCTGTCTGTGTTATGGTTTTCAGATTCCATTTTATTTCATTTTTTTTATGCCTTCAAGAAAATGAAACGGCTCTTAACATATACATACTTTGCACTGTCAGAACTTTATTAGAACATATAATTAAATAACTACTTTAATTACAGTTTATTGAAAGATAGTGACTTTACATGGCTAAAACATGGTATATTGAAAAACAGAAACAATAGAATTCACAAACAGGAGAAAAAACAAACATACCTTTTTTTTTTTTTTTTAATTGAGAATAACAACTGCTTTAAAAATGTTTTTATTCAATGTGTATAAATATTAAGATTTTAATCCAAATTGGATAACAATAGTTTTTTTTTACCAATCACACACATTTTTCTGCAAACATTTACATAACAAGGTAACAGTTTAAGCAGTCCAATTAAAGTCATGATCGTTAAAGTATGAGAAACAACAGCCAAAAAGCACTATTTGGACTGAAAAATGCAATCACTTATGTCCTTTGTGAAGAAGGAAATTTAATAGTCCGGAGAGAGAAGCAGCAAGCCAACTCAGTGTTACTGATATAAAAAAAACCCTACTGCTACTACTTACATGTTTTTGATTTGGTAGATGCTATAACAGAATTTTTGGATTAAAAGATATCTCTAGATGTATTTTCACGTATGCTCTTTTGATAGAGCATACAATTCTGGCTATACATCGTGCTAGCAGTTTTGCTAGCAAATGTATAATTTGGGAGAAAAAATGAGTTACATTTACATTATTTTTCTCCCTTTTTTCAGTCATATCTTTGACATAGACTCTATGCCAATGATTTGACTGACAAGGGAGATAGCAGAAAAGACTTCCCATAGGAGGTCCTTATGCTTTCCCAAGCATAGCAACCACAGCACATGCTTTGCGGTTGCTACGGAAACTCCCTAGCAGGTGCTGCTAGCGCTGACTACGGAGTATAGGAACAGAGTGAGTGACGCCGGGATGTTAACAGCGAGGTTAGCGTGTCAACGTCATTGAAGTGCTTTGGCCTGTCTGGGGAAGCATTCCAAGCAGCACAAATAAAAAAAGACTGGAGGAGGAGCCCAGAACGGGCCAGAGGTTGGTGTTACATGAAAAGTAATACCCACAAATCTGAGGAAATGGCTGTGCTGAAACGTTATGGTATGGTGAGTAAATCACAGTATTTTACATTGAATACAACATGGATCTCTATGATATATGATGCATTCAATATATTTGGGGCTGATTTAGCCAAAATTAGATTTCATTGTACAGGTTAACTTTAAGGAAAACACACAACAGTTTCATAAACTGGGTATGTTCGGATACTGAGAAGACATTAGATGATATTACACAACAACGTCATGCTTTACAAAGCAGTTCCAAGAACTTGGCTCAATGTATTTTAATTTATCAATTTGAATCTCAGAATCAGTTAGTAATGGATGCATTCTTTAGAAAAAAACTCATTGAGTAGTGACAAATGTGAGAACTTTTTCTCCACTGAAGAATATCTTTCCCTTAACATCTCTTTCATAAGAAAAAAAAATAAATGCTCTCCACAACCTTTTTGCTCATTAAACTGCTAAACTGCAAATCCAGGCAGACTTCACAAAAGCCACCAACTCGCCCACATCAGATCCGGTGGAATGGAGGGGTGGAAGAGGGAAGGAGAAAATGCTTAATGGATTTCTGGCTATGTAAAGCTGATAATAATACTTAATTCTCCACTTTACCAATGTGAAAGGTGATGGACAAGCATTTACTGCCATTTTAGAATTGTTCCAAGTTGCAGACAAAATCCAGGATTAAATACTGTGTAATAAGTAAAATAATTACAATAATGTAATCATTACTTATAAATGAAGTAAAACTGAGAGAATAAAAATAGAGCAAACGTGTATGACTTAGAATGCAGAAGTATATGATTAGCAGTTACTTAGTGGGTGCCACTATTTCTTGCCAGATCTGTAGGGTAAAAACTGTATATAGTTTTTATATAACTGGTAGGCAACAGTTGCACTTACAAATGCTCCAATGGTTTAGATAAGGTATTGATGAATCCAACCAAAACCACAGCGCAGATTTGCAGGAAAGACAAGGAAGATTTTCTCTACACTTGTAGTGGGTAGTGGGATAACAGTGGATTCTGTTGGGACTGAGGCACCATAGCATGTACACCATTTCATCACATTCAACAAGATGGCTTCCTCAAGGTCATACTATCCAAGACAAGGATGTTGAGCATTGACCTCCAAGGTGTTGCTGAAACGCAATCCTTTTAAGTCTCTGCAAGGCTGCCTGTGAATATCCATTATTTCTGTACATTGTGGTACAGCATTAACTGCAGACAGCCTGCCACTTGGTTATAGTATATGTACTAAGCATAAAAGGCATTATAATATGTATGGAAAGTCAAGTCATCTGTCTTTACAATCTGAAAATTCAAGAAGATGAAGAATAATTAGAATTGTGAGAGTGACATTTTAGTTTAATAGAAACATTTCTAATAATTAGTAGTTTAACCATCAACCCCCAAGTTTATGAATTGATTAATAAAATTAAAGGAACATTATAGCATTAGGAATACAAATCAGTACGCTTAACACTATAGTGTCCCTGTCCCTAGATCTATATTGGAACCCCCCAGCATTGAGACACGTTTGGCATTGCTCACATCTCCGCCTCCCATGATGTATAACTAAGTGATAGGAATGGTCCATTTCAATGCTCCATTATGGACCGAATTGTAGAGTGGGCTAGTTACCCCTAGGTGAGCTAGCAAGTGTGTGTAGGGACAACCTGAAAGGGGGTAACCCTCACAAACATGTGAAAACTAAAGAGAAAATGGCCCCTAGAGGAAAAAAACCCAGGGGTCACAAAGAAGGAAGTCCCTGGGGGATCTGTTACATATTTACAAATGTGTTAAAAACATAACTTTTATTGAGAAACTTGCAATTAAAACATTTATATGAATAGTGTCATTAGAAGGAATCCAGACGAAATTAATAAATTAACTAAACCTCTACTGGATAGGTACCCGAGTGATATGCTACAATAGTTGGGCATAACCTATCCAAATAACCGTTGCTCTTATTGGGGAGTCAAATTAGTTTATTCATTTAGTCTGGATTCCTTCTAACGACACTATTCATATAAATGTTTTTATTGCAAGTTTCTCAATAAAAGTTATTTTTTAAACACACTTGTAAATATATAACAGATCCCCCAGGGACTTCCTTCTTTGTGACCCCCTGTGTTTTCCTCCAGGGGTCATTTCCTCTCCATTATGGACCGGCAGCAAGTGCCGTGCACATATTCAAGCTTCACCCTAGGAAAGCATTGCATTCAGTGCTCAACAATACACTTCTACATCGTGTCATCAAGTTTTATGCCTCTAGTGGCTGTCCATATGAGAGTCACGAGAGGTAGACTTAACATTTCACATTGCAGGGTTAAAAGGTCAGGACCGCTGCAAACAGACCACATTGAGATGAACTTGTCTGGGTAACTTTAGTCACCCAAAATTTTTAAAAATGGCCAACGAGCAGGAATGCCGGATGAATGTATGTTTGATGAATGTTCGCAATATCCCCTGAACAGAGTATAATGCATATTAGTTCACACTCAACCTTGGAGTTGAACAAGAAGTCTCCCCAGACTCAACGACTCCGAGAACAATTCCACACATTATGCACTGTCCAAGGTTATATGGGATCATTGTGAATTTTACCAGACATGAGTGTACTAGGGCTCTCGGTCCACCTTAGAAAATACATCACAACAAAAACATACATTTTACAAATTTCTACTAAATAACAATGTTTTATAATGAATCCATGTAGTCTTTCACGTTAAAGTAGATCCTTGCACATTCCACTTTAAATGTCCTTCTAGGTTTCATAAAACGCATATTATTCAAGAATAAGATGTTCTGTTTTTAACTGCAACAGTTACCAGAAATATACCTAGCATCATTTACCAGGTAGATCTTTTTTAATGTATTGAAATGTTCTTTAAGTAATTGTTTTTATTAGAAAACAAATTTGTTTAACTTAGAATTCGAATTTTGAAATGTGTTACACTTTGTAAATAACATGTATGTGCTATTGACAGGGTTTTTTTTAATTGTCTTCTTTATTTAATTTTCTTTCTTTTTTTTAAATAAAATATATCTGTCAACATAATGTGGTTATGTTGTTTTTTTTCATCAGATCTTTATTGAGTCACAAATGCAAACAAGACTCATGTCAACATGTTTCGTATCATGAAGAAGAATCGCAGGTCTCAGCACTAGATAATGACAACGCAGCCACGCAGGGCTCATCAAAACAAGATGCAGAATAATGCAGACAATGACACATAGCTTAGCGTTAGAAATATGAAATAAAACTTTAAATGTTTCATGGAATGAGAAGGTATATAGTACCTCGGAAGATGGTATTATAGGTAAGAAAGGATAAGTGAGATAAAGGAAGGGTAGAGAGGTGCTAGTATCATTATGAAACATGGAATGATAAGGCCATTCTTGGACAGTAATATTGTACCATTAGTATTGCTAACCTATTTTATTCTAAATCAAAGCATTAGTAAGTCACGAATGTAAACTTGAGTCACGTCAATATGTTTTGCAATGTGAATAAGACTCGCAGGTCCTAGTATTAGACAATTGCAATGTAGCCACACAGGGCTCAGCAAATAAGATGCAGTATAGTTCAGACAATGTCACATAGTTAAGCTGTAGAGATTGGTAATAGAACGTTAAATATATCATGGGGGGAGGAGGTATATGATACCTTAGGGGATGGTGTTATAGGTTAGAGGGGAAAAATACGATAAAAGAGGGATATGGTGGCATATGTCCATTGCAATTCACATTGCAGAAGCGCCTCACTGGTGCTAGTATCGTTATGGGGAAAGTGATGTGAGGCCATTCTTAGACAGTAGTAATGTATCATTAGTGTGAACGATGCTGTGATGTGTTATGTTACTGTACAATAAGTCTGTTGGTGGTGCATGTGAGGTTCTCACTAACTGGCAGAGCTGCAGCCGTGTGAGGTCGCACTCCATGTGAAGAGTATGACCAAGCAGAGTCCGCCATTTGCATCGGGGGCAATTAGGATATTGGGGTATGTGCGATTATGCAGTTGGGATACATGGTAGTTCAGATAGATGAGGCAGTGCTAAGCTAGGGAGATGTGTACTGCACGGATCACCCCCCACTAAAGGACCCACCCCCCCCGCCTGCACTGTGTCGCCTTCGCCAGATACTCAAACTATGGTCGCCAGCGCTCTTAGTGGATTGCCTCCCGCTTGTATGGCCTCCGCCGCCTGTATTTAGCCTACCCTATCTAACCACTGCTGCACTCTGGGGGTCTTGGCTTGTCTCCAGAGGGCAGGCACCAGTGATTAAGCTGCGTTCAGGAGGGATCGGTATATGGATTTCTAGTAAGTGGCGATCGTGGTCAGGATTGAATGTATTAAGACATTTTCCATCATGAAGGGTGGAGTTTCACCCAAGATTTCCATGGACTGAGTCTTGACCGCCTCCCAGAATGGACATATCCAGGAGCAGTCCCACCAGATGTGCCTCACCGTGCCTCTGTCATCTCTGCATCGCCAGCATGTGTCAGGGACCGCGGGGAACACCCAGTGCAAGTATTCAGGAGTCCTGTACCAGGATGAGAGTCATGCTGTCATGCTGTTACGGGACATGATGAGAATTTTGTCCCATTGTGCATCCGAGAAGGCTAAGCCACGGATGGTTTCCCACATGCCCTTGAAGTTATGATTGTTCTCGATGTGTCCAGTTAGCAAGTGTTGATATAGGGTGCAGTTGGGAATATCGGAACTGATGCATGGGTGTGGGAGTTGTGCCTGCTAGCATTTCCAGTAATGGTTTTAAGCATGCGTTCTGCAGGGCTTTGAGTAGGGGTTTGTATGCCCCATCGCACAGGAAATTGAATGTGATATGTGGCAGCCCTCCCCCCAGGAGTCGGTTATTCGTCGCTGGTATCAACGGTTTGGGAGAAACCTGTGGGGTACCCCAAATTCGATTCCAAAGTTTTAGAGTCTGAATTGCTGGACATGTTGGGTCATGCCTCTCCGGCAATGTATGTGTGGAGTTCCATATTGGCGCCATCAGCGATAATTCCATGCTTCCTTTATCCAGCGCCACCCATTGCTTCCATTTGGGCTGTGAGTGCCATTCCACTACTCTCTGTAGAATGTGGTTATGTTTTTTTTAACACATAATGGAACATAAATATTTTCTATCTTGCAAATAAGGGCTCATTCCATCTAATTCTGGGACATACATTACACTTATTTGTATTAAATTACCTAATTTCCCAGTATATATTTATTAATTTTTAACACTACGTGGTTAGCATTGCTATAGTAATCTGATGACTAAAAGCCATTAAAATTCCCTTTATTGCCTTTTAGACAAGTTTGCTGCCATTCAATAAATGGTTTCTGGGATTCTCTAACTAAATGTAAAGGCGAAAGGCTTATAGGAATCTTTATTACAGTTAAATTGCAAATGTTAGGTAATCAGAATTACCAGAACTAAAAACACTGCATATTTTGACAGAGCAAAATGTGCTAAAAACAACAAGCCAATATATTATTTGTGGGGATACCTGAAATAAAAAAAGCAAACATAAAAAACATTGAAAATAGTGTTTCACTCAAGACAGCAAAGAATGGCTAAAATCTATTTAGTACAGGATCAGGTCAGATATAAAAAAGACTCAATAGCAGAGGGGTGAAGATGCTTTTTTGCTGCTATGGCAACAAGGCCCTTTTACCAATCAGAGCCAAAACTTTGTGTCTCAAACCAATAATTTAGAAATAATTCAGACTGGAGAAATTATAAATGATTCAGACGTCATATGATTAAAAAATTAGTTACAGTCAGGGATCTAAGATTAAAAATAGTGGGTGGTGTTATTAACATAGCTAGTTATAAAAGTGTTATGTTCAGCAGAGCAGATGGATACTAATTCATTAGAAGGGAAACATGATGATTGTCAGTGTATGTATTTGTACACGGGTAATATAAATATGTTTAACTCTGGTAACTATCATACTGCTCACTTATTTTCTAACAGTTAGAGATAGTCGCAGCTTGTGTTACAAAATTATCATGAAGAATGTTTGATTTGCTGTGAAATGTATGTGTATTTATATTCTTTACCATATAGTTCTAATATGAAGTGGTGTACACATGCTTGTAACCGTATTTTTGCTGGCTTTGTATTTTTTAACTTATAAAAGGTCAATATTGCACAGTGAGATACAGAAAAAAAAAAGAGTAGATTGTATTCATAGACTGATTGTTTAATTTAAATGGTCACCCAAAGCAAAAGAGTTCTCATCTAAAACCCAACTAAAATGAATTGGCTATTTCTTATAATGTGCATATTATTATATTATAATCCATTACTTCCTGCTTTACCCAAAACCATCTAAACCATTTAAAAACATAGTTTGAGTCTAATAACATTACTTCTCTAGGCAGTGAATTACCAAATATATAAATCAGTTTTCTTACTATATGTGGCGAACAGAACCTCACCACAGGCTCCTGGAGGAGCTTGCTTGCCAGCCTCCTGCCTCAGACCTATGGCCCCTGCAATATACCTTGTCTAACACACTTTAAACGGCTCTGTTCATGTGGTTTGGGTTATATGGTTCGGGAACCGAACAGCTGCATGAACCAGAGATCACCTGGGAGCTTGTTAAGCCTAATTGACAGTTTGTAACAATTTCCACCGCAGTGTTCTAAGTGTTCGTCTGGGTGGCCGCGTTACGTATGAACGACTACGAGGTGGCAGCCATTTTGGTCCTGTGAACGCAGACAGCGATGTTTGGGCATTGATCTCCTGGAACTGAAATCGGACACGGAAACTCCCGAACACCGCTGGATTTCCATAATTGCCTACATTCGGTTCTATAAAACTTGGAAGAGCACTGTTCGGTGGAATCATTCGTCTATAGGAGGGGAACAAGCTCCACGGTATGAACATTGACTATGTTCGGTCGATCTGGGTGATTTTTGGATATGTTGGTCACCCAGATCGGGGTTATCAGGGCATGTGACTTTTGTGGGGATTTCATGTGTTTTTTGAGGTATTGTTATATTGCATAATTTTTGTACTGGGAGGTAATTTAATATAGATGTGTACTTTGCAGCAGTCTCCTCTCAAGTCCAGCGAGGAATGCCCCTGGAATGTAATTTAGGAAACCCCTTGCATGGGGAGTTGCATAAAAGCCTGTGTGTGGCTCCCAATAAACTAGTTCATCCACAGCATAGAGCCTCGTCTCATGTGTGTGGGAGAAAGCTATACCAGCTATAATCACTTGCTATACTGCTCTTTGGGTTGCTATACAGCTATACTCTGTTGGAGGAGAGGTCTTCCCACTGGGAGCTGGATCCAGGTTAGTCCAGGGTAGGAAGGTATGATGATACCCCAGCCAAGCTGCATGGCTAAGGGGTCTACGGTGCTTATGGTGTCTGGTGCAGTGCTTATGGTACTCGGTAAGACTAGGAAGCAGCAATTGGCGGAGGTAGCCAGTCGGGGTGCCAAGCCATCCGCCACACTATAAAACACACACTATTCTGCTTTTACTTTAAGTTATTCTTCACCTATCATTGAAGGGTGACATTCTATTCTGATAAATAGAAAAGGAAATCATTTTATAGGTCTTGAATATAATTGTATGTAATTGTATCCTCAGTAAAACACCTCTGTTCAGTAAAAGCAAATGTAACTTTTTAAAGCATTTTATCATAACTAAAATGTTGAATTCCTTTCCAGCTGCTGCCCATAGCGACACCAAGGCCAGCACTTAGGGCATCCAGATAGGTATTACTGAATGGGGGCCGATAGGGCGCAGTGGCTCATACACGACCAAGCCTCTGTAGTATCTGTGATGCCGGGTGGCAGTGAGAGCTGGTCATTTCATTCCATAAACAGAGAGAGCTGCGTGGGAGGAAGAGGAGACACAGGAGTGGATAGGAGCAAGGAGAATGCCAGCTCCAGCCCCACACTACCATCAGCCTCAGCCAGCAGCAGCAGGACCCCAAGGAAGCCACCCTCCTGCACAAAAAATATATGTTTATAAGAGGCAGGCTACAAATATAGTAACTGTGTGTTAATGTGTATATATACCTGTGTAAGTATGTGGCAGTGAATGTGTGCATGTGCATGCATTACAGCAATCAAACACCAACACAAAATGTAAACACACCCCTTCAATCAAACACCAACACTACATACAAATGTATTCCCACCAGTGGTGTATGTTGAATATGTGCTGCGTAGGCATGTCAATATTCAGGCACTCCCCCCCCACCCCGCATCTAACTTTGCTCCGCCCCTACCTGTTTAAGGCAAACACATAGTTTGACTGACAGACACACTCTGACACACCCATTCACTGACAAGCACACACTCTCAGATTCACATATAGTGACATACGTTCACTGACCAACACACTGGCAGACACACACGGTCACTGACAGACACACACACTCACTAACAGATACACACTTACTCACAGACATACACTGACACACACACACACACACACACACTCACTCAGAAACACAATGACAGACATGCACACATTCACTGAATAAATATTTGTTAAAGTTTTGTCTCTGAATAAATATTTGTTAAAGTAGACGGACCAGAGTTTAAATGTGTATGCGTACATAATAATTTATAGAGTTTGGTAATTTACCACACCCCCATGAAAGGGGCTAACAGGGCATCTGCCAGGGCATTTAGGGGGTGGCTTTTCTTGCCACCCTCCATAAGTGCTAGCCAAAGCAAATGAGTTGTTAGCCTCGTGGGAAATACACCACTGATTCCCACATTTAAAAGCCAACACTATGTACATGCACACCGCTGCAATCAATTGTAAGCATCATATACAAACACACCCCTGTATTAGAAAACTAAAATTATATACTAACGCCTTTCATTCAAACACCAACGCTATATGTGAAAGCACACCTGCATTTATAAGCCAACACTACATACAAACACATCCCTGCATTGAAACATAAACACTATGCACAGGTACACCACTGCATTAAAATGGCAACAGTACATACAAATACTCCCCTACATATTCTGTTCAAAAAAACATGCTTACATTCAAAAGCACAAATGCTGCTCTCAAATACAACCCTGAAAATAATCCCCAGCTGGCAGCATAGCATCATGGGATTTTGACAGATGGGGATCTTGTGCTAAAGGGAGCCCAAAAAAAAACTTGGGGCCTCTCTAAATTAGTCCTGCCACTGTTCCTTTCAGATCCAGAATATCCTTCCTAATGACAGGGGCCTAAAAGTGTATCAGATATCCATAGGAAGAATACCATTGATTTCCAAAGTCTCTTAAATCCATGTAAAAATCTTAACTTTTAAAGCCACTGACTAACTGCTACATTCCCTCGCCCAACATACTTCTCATTTAAATAATTTCATTATTCAACCAATTACACCCCAAAAACTAAAAAACTATTCATAGTGAACCTCGTCCGCAGCTTGCCATCTCTGCTCCCCCGCCTCCCCCGTTCAGATAGCTCTTTCGTTAACTAAACAACCGACTGTCCATATTGGATTACTTTACCTAATTTTGTTTAATTTTTAAACTGACACGTGGCTGTCAATGCACGATGCAAGACCATTAATAACTAAACAATCATTGAGAACCTTGAGTTAAAGGCAAAAATGTTGCAACTGTGTATTGCACCAGTACAAATAAAAGTCGTCTTGAGGCTGAAGCAAGGGCAATAGTAAATAGCTTACTCTATTGGAGGGAAAAAAACAACATACTTTTATGACATAGCTATATATCTAAATAGATAAATTAAAATGATGGATGATGCGCCTTAAGTGTCCTTAGAGTTTTATGAAACGATAAGAGAAGAGGAACGAAAACTGATAGTGTAGTTTTGTCTCTTCTCTTATCGTTTCATAAACCTCTGCTCCATCCATCATTTTATTTTATCTGTCTTTTCCGCAACCGAAGAAGAGAGACACCAGACTTGGTTGTTTACGCTCCCATCTGGATTATATTCAATAATTACACTAGTGCTGATTTCCTTTTTTTTTTATTCCATATTTATAAATAGGTTGACACAATTCTTCCACATTCACGTTTCCATTTGTGTTTTTCAGTTTTTGGACGGGACCAGATACCTCCGTGTTTACCAATAGATACATTGCTTTAGACCGCACAGTCTCAAACTTGTGTCCAGCAATGTAACTAAGTACATTATGAAAGAAATAACGAGATAGAGAGGCATAAACACAAAGACAATTTATTTTTAAATAAACCACAATAATAAAATAAAGTAGAATAGTACAAAATATGATATATATTAATTTTAACATATGTTTTATTTACCATTTAAACCAGTGAATACATTAAAGAGGTAAATGGAAGTTTTTCCAGATACCATTGCTACAAAAAGATAACACTTCTCAGATACAAACGTAATCTTCCCAGGATCAGCCTAAATTCAACAATCTTTTCTAATAACTATATACAATAATATTTTATTTGTAATAAAGCCAACTTATTTTTTTTCATTATTACAAGGAGCAGGTACACTGAATGTTTACCCGATGGAGCAGGAGCTGAGAAGAACATGCTTTCAGTCCCATGAACTAGGGTGCAGGGAATTAGACCCAAAAGACAGAGAACAGATTGGAACAAGAGTCTAGGGTTTATTTTCAACAATTTAAACTGGCACAAAAAATAAACAAACCCCAATTTTTTAACTGTACAAATGCAAAAAAATTGTACTTTCTTTTAATTTATGTAATGTAAATGTGTTCACGTGAAACACTGCAAGAGACAATATGTTAACTTAAATTTACTTGTCTGCAGTAATTATATTAAACACCGGCAGATGTATACATTTTAAGCAACAATTAAAAACAAGGCACGTTTACAATCTCCTGGATAAAGAGCCCATTGCATTAATATCGCTGATGTTAATAGACAACAGTGCCATTAAAATACCATGAAAACTTGGCTGCATTACAAAGAATGATATATCAAAAGGCAGAACCCTCATATTGGAGGGGATGTTTGGGAATGGAGTTTAGGTATTGGTACCCTTCTACTATTTGTTTTAGGGGATAATGTGGCTCCTCGTGCTAGATAAATGAGGTTAGGTCACATATCAAGAGACAGGTTTAAGGATGGAGTTAGGCGAGCACTATGCTACATTTTAGGGTAGAATTAAGGGGACCTAGGTTTGGGGGTATTAAGAAATGTGAAGCATCACTTGATCTTAACATAGTTTTACCACTATTGAGATAAATCTTATGGCTTTTTAACTTTTCAAACTATTTTATTACAGAAATTAAAAGTTCCTGTTCCAATTATTACAACCTTTGTTAAAAAGAAAAACAATTATCCATTCTTTCAGTGAACAAACAGATTTCACTGAATTATTACAAAGGAAAACTGAGGACACTGCTCACAAAATCCAATAAAGTATGATGTGCGACATTCGACCGAGACGGTAAAGAAACCGATTGAAACAAGCATCCTACATTGTTTGAAGGTATCAACCTAAAATTTACCCTAACAGAATTGTGTTTAACAATTAACTCCACATTTTAACTGTATTGACTGTAAAAAAATATGACTTTCCTATTCAGAACAAAATATCTGATTTCCTCTCCACTAAAGCTCTGTACACGATAATTATATAGCTGTCTGTGTAAGCGCTGACCTGTGTAGTCTAATTTCATAATTGAAACCTTAAATGAATACATTGTTCTTTTTTCTCACTCTTTGTATTTGTTGGAAAATTTTGACATGTACTGGAATAATTCTGTCAATAATTTATTAAAACGGATTAATTACACCTGGATTCATAAAGAACACTTGATAATATTTTATAACAACCATATAGGAAGCAAGGCCATGTCGCGCAGTCCCTCCGCTTGTGAGACCGATGTCGACATTCCTAGATAGACCATCTGGTATGATCGAGCTAGTTAGATATTGTTAGTTAGATATCCCTCTGCTGTTCTATGTTCATTTGCACCCGCTACAGCGGAAGAGGTTTCTGCTCTGCTCTAGTCCTCCCGCCCCACCACCTGCTCCCCAGATGCAATTCCCTTGCATCTCATCCGTACTCCGTCTTTTTCTCTTTCTCTACCTCTCACTAAAATTCTCAATCTCTCTCTCTCTCCTCTGGGATATTTCCATCACCCTTTAAACATGCAACTATAACCCCAATTCTAAAGAAGCCCAACCTTCACCCTAACTCTTCGTCCAACTACGTCCTATCTCGCTACTGAATTTTGCATCCATATAGTTACATAGTTACATAGCTGAAAAGAGACTTACGTCCATCAAGTTCAGCCTTCCTCACATTTGTTTTTTGCTGTTGATCCATCCATCCAAGATCCTTGAAAGAGTTGTGTATGCAAGATTAACAGACTTGCTCGAGTCCAACTTTCTGCTAGACCCGCTTCAGTCTGGTTTCCACGCTAAGCACTCTGATCAAAGTATCCAATGATCTACTCGCTGCAAAATCTTGTGGTCACCACTCTATCCTAATTCTCCTTGACCGTTCTGCGGCTTTTGACACTGTTGATCATCAACAGCTTCTTCTCATCCTCCGCAATATCGGTCTACGAGATATTGCTCTCTCCTGCTGCTCCTCCTATCTCTCCCAGCGCTTTTTCACTGCTTCTTCTCCCCAACTCCTATCTGTTGGTGTCCCCCAAGGTTCAGTCCTTGGTCCCCTACTGTTCTCTATCTATACTGCCTCCTTTGGTAAGCTCAATAGCTTCCAATATCATTTCTATGCGGATGACACGCAAATCTATCTGTCGTCTCCTAATGTCTCTCCGTCCCTCTTGACTAGTGTCTCTGACTGCCTCTCTGCTATTTCTAACTGGATGGCTGCCCACTTCCTTAAACTCAACTCGACCAAAACTGAAATTCTGGTCTTTCCTCCCTCAAGTGTTGCTACTCCTGTGTCTGTCTCCCTCCAAAGTCAACGGTGCTAACATCAGCTCCACCACACAGACTCGCTGCCTAGGTGTTCTCTTTGACTCCTCTCCTTCACGCCTCATGTTCAGTCTATCGCCAAATCCTGCCGCTTCCATCTCAAAAACATTGCGCACATCCGACCCTACTTAACACCAGATGCGACTAAGGTGCTGGTCCATTCCACTGTCCTTTCTCGCCTTAACTACTGTAATCCGCATCTCAGTGGTCTTATGTGCTCTCAACTTGCGCCGTTACAGTCCATAATGAATGCGGCGACAAGGCTCATCTTCCTGTCTGCCTGCACCGCCCATGCCTCACCTTTCTGTCAGTCCCTACATAGGCTTTCTGTAAGATATAGGGCTCAATTTAAAATTCTGGTTCTTGCTTTCAAATCTCTACATAATGCTGCTCCCACCTATCTATCCTCCCTAATACACAAGTATGTCCTTTCTAGGCCCTTTCGCTCTCCTGAAGACTTACATCTATCTTCTGTCCGTAATCCCACCTCTGATTCTTGCCTTCAAGACTTCTCGAGGGCTTCCCTCCTCCGTTAGATGCTCACCCAGTCTCCACTCCTTCATAAAATCATTAAAAACCCACTTCTTCATAAAAGCGTATTAATTAAACTGTTAATAGCCCCCGACTGATTCCTCTCTTTCATCTGTCATTAGTCTAATACTATCCTTACCTTTTTGTGTCACTTTACCCCATTCCCTCTAGCATGTAAGCTCATTGAGCAGGGCCCTCAACCCCTCTGTTCCTGTGCGTCCAACTTGTCTGGTTACAACTACATGTCTGTTCCTCCACCCACTGTAAAGCGCTGCAGAATTTGTTGGCGCTATATAAATAATAACATAATAATAGTAATTGTCCATGAGAGTGTTATATATAGGTTTAGCTCTGATGATGCCTATGCACAACAGACTATAATCAATGCAGGCAGTGTTTGGTTTTCTGGGACAATATACTCTACGTGGATTTATTGAAGATAACTAATCTTAGAAGACACATAAAAGTTACTATTTGATATGTTGCACCAAAGTGGTAGCCTTTGCCACCAGATGTCTTTCGGAGGGGTACATTGGCCCTGTTAACTTGATGGAAAACGAAGCATAAATTGTGAAATCGATCTCTTCTAGCAGAGTGTAGTCATGGTTGGATTAGTTTTTTTTAGAGTAAAATTAAAATAAGTTGTTGAGCACTGACATCAGCCTGTTGCAAGCAGAAGATAAAGAATGCCAGTGTAAGAATTGATCATCTGGTGTGTAGATAGAAACCAAAATTAAGGCATTTACATGCCAATAATTCGGATATATTTTTCTTAGTTCTTGAATAAGTGTTTCACCGGTTGAGTTAATGCCTTCTATCTGAAGAGACAGGCAAGGAAAATGGAATTTTGTGTGACGGATATCATTTTCCAGAAGCCCTGCCAATTGATGATACAAAATGAATTGCTTTTTTTTATTAAGCTGCTCTATTTTGTTATGATTAACTCAATTAGTTCTTCAGGTATCATGTTCTATAACAGTTGTACTGAACCAAAAACATTATTCTGTTTTTAAAGACTGTGACCTTTACTTTTATAGTAAATTAATATTTTCACGATAATTTTATGTGGAAATAAAAAAAAAAATGTGTACACTGCAGCATGTATATATTATAATATCATAGTATACTATATTATATATATACTTTTCTTGTTGGTGGCATAACTACTAAAGTGCAATAGGTCTCGGCAGAAGTGGTGTAATCTAAACTGAAGATTTACCATTGTCTCTAAGTGAAGTGGAACGATAGCTGCAATCGTTCCCATTGAAATTTAAATAATACTGTCTGGGACATTGCCATGTGTGACCTTGGGATAGTGGGCCCTGGTGAAGGATACCGTATACAATGAAATTAATATATTTTTCAAGATATAATTGAAAATATATACAAAGAGTTTTATAGCTCACATTAAAATCTGTTTAAAGCATTTGACCATTTTACTTGCATTTTCAATATTTATACATTTCATTATTGATGAAGATTTCTAAACTGGGAGGCTCCAAGTACAGTGCATGAATTTTAGGATTGTTTTTAAAGGTCCTTGGTCAATACTCCAGAAATAGTTTTTCCTTTTTATGTTCTAGATATGCCTTTCATCATTCTAGTTTTCTCTCTTTTTGTGCGTGCTCTCCCTTTTCCCATTTCTGGTATTTCTGGTTCCTCTTCTTCTAGTGCTGGGACTTTCTCTTCTTGTTCCGGTAATCCCTCTCTTGGTTCTATATTTCTCCTTCCTTGTCTTCTGTATCCTGAAATTCGGTGTTAATATGGCAGGCAAAAATGGGAACGATAAACCTAGAAGCTCTTCTAAATCAGTCACCCTAAGCCTGGAGATTACCAGCTATTGGGAACCATATATATGGTGATTCGAGCCAACCACTACCAGCTACTGAATCCTTGATTAAATCTCCTTTTCCATATTAATTTGACACATTATCAAGAGTTACAATATCATAACAACTCCATGTAAATCTGTTAAAATGGAAAAAGATGAAACAGGATAAATAACCACAGCTGTGTATATTACACCATTACACACAGGGCTTTCAAACAGTGAGTCTCTTCTTGGTAGCATGCAATGTGTGTCACTTCACATAAACATGGAAATTCCTACGGATGGTCCTCTCTTCCCATTAGGAAATCAGTTAACACAACTGCTAGTTTTGAGAGTGTGAGTTGTTTGCTTCACCGACAGTGCTACATTCGGTTTGCTGCAGGAAAATTCTAGTGTCTCGAAAAACAGCTGCCTGAAGGAAGAGGAGACCACGTTATAGAGAATGGGATTAACGGCCGAGCTGACATAGAACAAGGTATTAGTTAGCATGTAGAAATAGTGGTAGAAATTATAGAGAAATCTGAAAGACAAAATTGGAAAAAAAAAAGGTGGAAACACTGTCAAAAGATATATAATTTTAACACAAAAGGAAATATGTACTAGATTGCAATGTGCAATGGTAAAAGTGATAATGCTGACAGTTCGGGAAATTCTGGCACCTCTGTGATCTATCCTGCTTTGCTGGGTAATTTTATCTCCAAAGTAAATCTGATTAGACCTGCTTAAAAGTTCATATACTCTTTTCCTTTACCCATAAAGAAGGACACAATACGATTTGAAAGACGAAAAAAAAAAAACAACTGTTGCTTCTAAACATGTAAATAGATATTTAAATAAATAGTAGATGCAGTGACACATTTTATTTTGTCAGAACACTGAACTCTACTAAAGTACTGTACAAAAGGTCTCAAAAACAATTTCCCCTCTGTAATGTATAATGTTGCCTAGGAATTGGCTAAAAAAAGGTTATGAGGGAAAAGTAATCTTTTTTTTTTTTTTTTAAAGAGCAAAATATCTCAAAACATACTTCTTTTCAATCTATGTAGCCTTAAAGGAAAATGCTGGGCACCAACAAAACTCAAAGGAACACTATAGTATTACAGTTGTTAAAACCACTGTCTATCTCCCCTGCTAGCCTTCTTTATGCCCTAAATATAGTAAAATCTTACTTTTATTCAAGTCTGCTGCTGCTGGCTGTTCCCCTGATCTGCCTACTTGACTGACATAATCAGAAGTGATTCTCTGAGCAAATCACGATGCTTTCCCATAAGATTGGCTGAGACTGTCAAAGAGGCAGATTAGGGACAGATCCACCACAAGTCAAACACAGCCCTGGCCAATTAGCATCTCCTCATATAGATAACATTCAGTGTCTCCACTGCCACACAAAGCACCTCTAGCAGCCATCTTAGGAGTGGCCACTGGAGGTATCTCTAGACTGTAATGTAAACAAGGAAGGGAATGATTATACTTACCAGAACAAATACAATAATCTGTAGTTGTTCTGGTGACAAGAGTGTCCCTTTAAATGCATTGGGGGTTTGGCTTCATATTTACGCTGTATTACTCTCCATATTCAAATCTCTTTGGTTTTGCTAAAAAAAATGTTTTGCAGCTTTATGTAACGCAACTTCACCCCCTTAGCCAATTCAACCCTTTTCACAAAACACCTTTTTGATTGGAAAGTAAGCCATGTAACTGTGCTAAAGAGAGAGCCGAACTACAGATATCATGTGCTGTGACAGCCAATCACTGTCATTCTATTATTTGTGCAGTATTTTAAAGCCATCCTATGGATAACGGGGACAAATTATAAGTGATTAGCTGTAAAGGGTAGGGATATCAGCAGTCTAACTCACAGTGTTCTCTTATTGGCAGAGCTGAATATGTACTCCTAGTACAGTAAGGAAGTTGCTCCGGGATAGGAGAGTGTGTGGCAAAGGGGGCGGAGTTACAATATAGAAAGCTGCAAAGCATTTAACTTCCTTTTTAGTAAGACTACAGAGGTCTGGACGTGATGAAAAATGCACTTAAGTGTCCTTGTAATCATGACTACAGACAAAGGAAAACTAAGGAAATATATATATATATATATATATATATATACACACACACACACATACACACACGATAAAATTGTAAATACTGATAAATATAAAAAACAAAAAACAAAAAAAAACCACAGAACCAAAAACGGAAACACCAAAAATAAGAAAGAGATCCATTTAATTCATTACACATTAGAGCTTACCCTGTAGACTTCATGCCCCCTAATGTATCTACAGCATATTTGGTTACCAAAGGTATGGGTTTCATCGTACAGATTTGTAAAATGTATGGAGGTATTCTGTAGATTAGATTAGGTCGGCATTTAGCTGTGAAATTAGCTGTTATTGATAAAATAAAATATCATTCCACTCAGGAATCAGATCATTTGAAAGTGCACAAAAACTGAGAAGATCCATTTTGTCTAAATTCTCCTACTTTAAGAGCAAGGTTTGTAGAGTTTTAGACTACCGTTTGTTTTTGTTTAGTTTTTTTAACAAAAGATCGTTTTCTCTTGCACAGAATAAACAAGCATCATGCATGCATAACCAAATTCTATCGTTTGAAATCAGCTCAGTGGCGGATCCAGAGCTTTAGGGGCCCTAAAGTAAAATAATGGGGGGGACCTCATGACCTCTGATTGGTTGGTTTGAAATCCACCAATCAAAGTGCTCTGAGCCTAACTGCAGGGCGGGGCAATGCAAGACTCATAACACTCTGATTGGTGGATTAAGTAACCAATCAGAGTGTTATGAGTCAAATTACACAGCGTGGGAAAATTCCAAAGAACTCTCCCACGCTGTGTAAAATGACACAGAGCACTCTGATTGGTGGATTAGGTCCCCTCCTCATTCTAATTTAGTGCCCCCACCCAATGCTCAGGGGTGGGGGCCAGGGGGAGGACAATAGGTGCCCCCATTATTTTACTTTAGGGCCCCCACCCACCGCTCAGGGGTGGGGGCCAGGGGGGAGGACAATAGGTCCCCCCCATTAGTCAAAATTTTTCCCATGCACATGCCTAGATATTACTGCATTAATATCTTGCATTAAAGCAACTTTTACCCTAAATGGTACTGAATTAGGGAAAACAATAAATGAGAATGATAAACATAAACAGACTAGGCATCTGTATAATCACAGACAACAGAATAGGCAAGAAGATAATCACAAACAATAGAATTATCAACAAAAGTCAACGTCTGTCAGGAGCTGCAGTAAGCTATAGCCTAGATCAGGGATAGTCAACCTTTTAATACCTACTGCCCACTTTTGTATATTTGTTGATGGTAAAATTTCTTTACCACCCACCAGTGCTACAGTGACAAATTTTATAGCGCGCAAGTGTGATTTTTTTTAGAAAGTATTTTTTTTTTTAAATATGTACTTCTATTTTTTGAGTTGCCGTGTATGTGAAGGGTGGTGTGTGAATGTGCATGTGTGTGAGAGGGGCAGTGTGTGTGAAGGGTGCTGTATGTGGGTGAGGGGTGCAGTTTGTGTGTGTGAGTGGGGCAGTGTGTGTGAAGGGTGCTGTATGTGGGTGAGGGGTGCAGTGTGTGTGTGAAGGGTGCAGTGTGTGTGAGAGGTGCTGTGTGTATGTGAAGAGTGATGTGCATGTCTGAAGGGTGCTGTGCGTGTGTGAAGGGTGCTGTGCTGTGTGTGTGAGGGGACAGTCTGTGTGTGTGTGTGTGTGTGTGTGTGTGTGTGTGAAAAGGACAGTCTGTGTGAGGGAGCAGTCTGTGTGTGTGTGAAGGGGCAGTCTGTGTGAGGGGCAGTCTGTGTTATGGGGGAGTGTGTGTGAGGGGGTAGTATGTGTGTGTGTGTGTGTGTGTGTGTGTGTGACGGGGCAATGTGTGTGTGTGAGAGGGGGGCAGTGTGTGTATATTTGTGAGGGGTGTAGTGTGTGTTTGTGTGTGAAAGGTGCATAGGGTCTATGCTGTGTGTAGGTGGGTGAGATGTGAAAATCTATCTTAATGTCTCTCCCTCCCTTCTTCTTACCTTTTACCAGGGAGGGGGACACAATACTGCAAGCCCTGTTGGCCCAGTGGTGGCTTGTTCACTTTAGCCTGCAGCTCCTCTGGCTGCAGGCTGACTCTCCTGTCCTTCTGTGAGCACAGCACTGTATCGGAGTGTTTCCATGGTAACATGTGGCAACGCTCCGACCAGCCTGCTTTCAGGAGGAACACAGAGCCTCCAAGGCTCTTCCGTCCCTCTGCAGTAACTAAGGGCCAGTGAGGGTGATCTCCTCACCAGTCTGAGAGGGCTTACATCAAGGCTGGCTCTGCATGGGCTGGCAGGGGAGAAGAAAGGATCTCCTCTGCTAGCCTTGGTCCACAGCCAAACTGCAAACTGCCCATTAACCTGACCAAAGGAGATATCCAAATATCATTTGAAATCAGGAACATTTTTTTCCTTATTGCGGCACAAATGTAAATCAACCCAGATGGATCTTTCATCCTCTTTTGGATACAATATCTAATATTTACAGGTTCAATTGCCTCCAAGAAAAGCCATTTCTCCTTTCGAGGTGGATAAAATATCACTAAGTACAATTAGTTGAGAATCACGGCATGACAAGTATTTATTTAAATACCAATGAATCCTAGCCATCCATTCTTATTAACATAGTTTAATATTATAATCTTCTGATCGCGCATTGAATGACTGTCACCTTATGGAACGGAATGGCTGAACTGTGGGGATATCTACAACTGGATAATAACACAGGGAAATGCAATCTACAAAGCCTGAAATACTGCAATGGCCATTTTAATAACAGGTGTGAAATTACTGACATTAAACCACATAATATGCCTTTTTCCAGCATAGATTGAAAAAAAAGTGACCCTTTTTATACCCAATGTATTTATAATATGCTGTCATTGTCTGAAATTGATGCTCTGCGTTAGTAAGCTATCTGCATTATTTTATCAATGGTAACATTTGATCCCATGACAGAATTAATGATATTATACACAGCAGAATGAATGATATTATACACAGCATGGCTACATTATTATTATTATTATTAGCATTTATATAGTAACTATGCCTGCTGTAATACTTAGGTTTGTACCATGAGCTGTTTTTGAGTAACAAATAGAGTGAAATATTACTTGTGCAATGCTGCTACAGTGCTGCCAGACACAATATGTAACCAAATCATTTTAATATCATTTTGTGCTGTATGTATGAATCTTAAAGCATGTCAGGCTTGCACACTTATCATCTAATCAGACCAAGCTGACTGTGTGGTGTACACGGAACTTGGACAAAATTGGCAGGTAACCTGAAATAAGGTGATTCAAATGGATGTCTGATGTCTGCTGAAGTCCAACACAGCTACTTAGTGAGGAACGAAAGGGACCCCTTGATTTATGGAAAAAAACCTGCAAAAGGCATTGGATTGCCAAGGATATCGAGATATTCTCAGCACCATAACTATTGCAGTGTGCTGAAGTGGTTCAGCAGGCACAATCTGCCAGCAATCTGTCAAACTGTTTACGAATGGTTTGACACTTACCTTGTAGTGTTGGGCACTTGTGGTCTTTCTAGTCTGAGATGGTCTAATGAAGTGGACGTTCACAATTCTGCATTGTCATACCAATGCATACCATCTGGGTTATTCACTAAAATAAGAATTCAAAATGAATTCAAAGTGAAGTTAAAATTTAAGGTCAAACGAACCGAACTGAACCCATTACAGAACATCTCAGACCAGAAGGTCTATGCACGCCCAATATGGTGAGCACTCATAAACAGTTTAACAGTTTACTGGTGGATGACGCTCGGGAACTCCTGGCACCATAACCACTACAGCATGTTGCATGGTGTCTAGAATGTCTGTTTAATCCCAAAAATTAGTGATATCACGACTGGCTTCCAATTTTACTTTCCATAGCCATGCATAACATTTATAGGCAATGTGCAGTGTACAGGGTGAGAAGAACTCCTTCGTCTCGTTCATCTGTAATGATTGGAAATATATATATATTTGCAAAGCTGTAGGATTGTATTACTGCATGCCAGATGTAATTAACAAGCATGGTTTAAATCACTGAACAGAAGGGTCGTCCACATATTTTTGGTCATATAATACATACATACATATATTATTTTTTATAATAGTGAATAATGGAAACTAGTTTAATTAGTACTTACCCAGACCACTCATCATCTGGTACATAGCAAAACATCAGTCTTCTGGCATGATAGGGTAACCAGCACACGACATATGCTATGGCAATGGCTCCTGTGGGGGGTGCAAAGCAAAGTTATCAAATGTTGTTATAAAGAATAGCTAATAAATGACTTAGTAACTACACACATGGTCATGATGTAGAATCAAAAATGACATGTTGTAAAATCAAACCTTATGTAATTGAATGACAGAGCAGCATACTGCAACTAGTCCAGCCTTGGAATTGTAAAACATTGTTAATTGAGGCAGACGACAGTTTAAAATATACATCACGAATGTTTTTGTTTCTTTCTTTTCTTATCATCTTAAAGGAGAACTGTAATTTGCAAGGATTTTTGGAAACGTTTTTATTAGGTCCAATATTAAACAGATATGAATTTGTGAGGTGTGAAAAATAAAATGTAACTGTCATCCTATGTCATCTATGTTTCTATACAACAAGAGGACAAAGTCTTAACCCCTTAACGCCGTTACGGAGTTCCATGCCGTCCCCATTTAAATGGGCTTTAAAGCCGTTACGGCGTTCTATGCCGTCCCCATTTAAATGGGCATTAAAGCAGTTGCGGCGGCATAGAACGCCGTAACGGCTTTCAGCCCCTGGAGGTCCGCAGTACTTACCTCCGCCGCGATCCGCTTAGGGAGGACTGCCTGACAGCCCAGGCAGCCCTCCCATGGCAAATCAGGCCCCCAAGTGCCATGTCATGGCTCTCAAAGAGCCATGAAATGGCCCCCTATAGCTGGCTGTGGATCTGCCAGCAGCGAGACTGTCTGAAATGTCAGACAGTCCCCCTGCTGGTGGGAAAGTACAAAAAAAATTAATTAAACGTTTAAAATTAATTAAATGTGTGTGTATATATATATATATTTATATATATATATATAAAATATATATATATATATATAGAATACATATATATATATATACATACATCTTATATATATGTTACACATCATACGTAGTGTATTTTAATGTTAATATAAGTACATATATTAATATTAAAACACTTAGAATTAAGTTACATATATATAATATATATAATACATATATATTTTATATTTATATATATACGTATAATTACAACAATAAATAAATACAATAATAAAATAAATAAAATATTTTAAAAAAAAATTAAAGAAATTATACATACATATGTAATTTCATTCTAACTGTATTTTGTTATTAATATATTATATATATATAATATATATATATTAATAACAAAATACAGTTAGAATGAAATTACATATGTATATATATATATATCTATCTATAAATAAAATACAAATAACTGCAAATATATTTATATAGATAAATATATATAATTACATAAATGATTACATAAGTATACACGTAGAATTTAAATACATATATATGTATGTATATTAAAATTCTATGTGTATATTTAAGTAATCTTTTAGCATAATTATATGATTTTATTAATTAAAATTTGATTGACATGCCTGACAACCCAGGCAGAAAGTGCAGATAATTTAATTCGCAAACACTCTATTTAACCCTGTAACTTTCCAAGACACCATAAAACCTGTACATGGGGGGTACTGTTTTACTTGGGAGACTTCGACTGATGTCCAGTCATTTTTAGTAGTCACAAACACTGGCCAAATATTAGTTTTTTGCTTTTTTCACACAAACAAAAATATGAACGCTAACTTTGGCCAGTGTTTGTGACTAAGTGGCTACTAAAAAAGACTAAACATACCCCACTTTTTCAAATGGTATGCCATTATGGGGGTAATTCTCATTCCTGGGCTACCACACGGTCTCAAAGGAAACATAAACAACCTGGCGAATTTTAATGTGAAAAAAATGAAAAATGGAATGTGCTATATTTGACCCTTTAACTTCCCAAAACACCGTAAAAGCTGTTAATGGGGGGTACTGTTTTACTTGTGAGACATTGCTGAATACAAATATGTGCATTTTATTGCAGTAAAAGCAAACAGTATCATGACATTTACAGCTAAAATGTCAGGCAGTACTACAATTTTTTTAAGAAATCTTAATTTCACACAGTTTTTTTTATTTTATTCATAATAAGTTATGTTTCATATATGAATAGTTCATGAAAAGTTAAAGCCCTGTTTCTCCTGAACAAAAAGGTATATAATAAGTGTGGGTGCACTTAATGAAAGTGGTGAACTACGGGTGAACAGACATATAGCGCAAATTCCAGGTTTTGTTTACATTTTGTTTTGATCAGAACGTGTACTATTGACTCCGTCCTGAAGGGGTTAAACTAGAGGGGCAAAGATTTAAAAATAATATCAGGAAGTTTTACTTTATAGAGAGAGTAGTGGATGCATGGAATAGCCTTCCAGCTTAAGTGGTACAGGTTAACACAGTCAGGGCCGGCCTTAGGGGTGTGCGAGCTGTGGGCCACACAGGGCGCCATGGCCGACACAGCTCACACATGGCCGGCCGGGATAAAAATTAAATACAATTTGAGGCGGGGGCGGAGCTTACATTGTGGCAGGGCTTACATTGTGGCAGGGCGGAGCTTAGCGTGCGACAGGGTGGAGCTTAAAGTGCCGGATAACTGCTACAGCAATAAACAGAGCTGCACTGCCTCCACAATGAACAGAGGTAACTATGTGTGATTGTCAGTGTGAGTGTGACTGTCTGCCTGTGTGTGTGACTGTTTGCCTGTGTGTATGTTTGTGTGTGTCTGTATGACTGTCTGTGTGTGACTGTCTGCCTGTGTGTCTGTGTGTGTGTGTATGACTGCCTGTGTGTGTGTGACTGTCTGCCTTTGTGTTTGTGTGTGTATGTCTGCCTGTGTGTGTGTGTCTGTGTGTGTGACTGTCTGTCTGTGTGTCTGTGTGTGTGTATGACTGCCTGTGTGTGTGTGACTGTCTGTCTGTGTGTGTGTATGTGTGTGATTGTCTGTCTACCTGTGTGTTTGTGTGTGTGACTGTCTGCCTGTGTGTGTGAGTGTGTGACTGTCTGTCTGTGTGTGTGTGTGTGACTGTCTGTCTGTGTGTGTGTGTGTGTGACTGACTGTGTGTGTTTGTTTGTTTGGCTGTCTGCCTGTGTGTTGGCTGTCTGCCTCTATGTGTGTGGATGTCTTCCTGTGTGTGTATGGCCATTTGACTATGTGTATGTGTGTGGCTGTCTGCCTTTGTGTGTGTGGCTGTCTACGTGTGTGTGGCTGTCTGCGTGTGTGTGTGTGTGTGACTGTCTGCATGTAAGTATGGGTGTGTAAGACTGTATGTGTGGCTGTGTGTGTGTAAAACTGTATATGTGTCCTATGTGTGCGTGTGGCTATCTGCCTGTAATTGTGTGTGAGTGTGTTTATCTACCTGTAACTGTGTATGTGTGTTGCTGCCTGTACCTGTGTGTTTCTGCCTGATCCTGTGTATGTGACTATCTGCCTGCGACTATGTGCATGTGGTGGATTTGACAGTGTATATGTATAACTGTGTGCATCTGATTGTGGGACTGTGTGCACATATCTCTGCAAAAATATACACCTGCTTTCACACACGTGTTTTTATTTAAATTAAATAACCATCACACACAGCCAATAACCCCAGCACAAATATCACATACAACCAATACACGCATATCACACACTGTTAATACACCCATTACAAATATCACACACAGCCAAGACATAGCATACATATCACACACAGTCATCACACCTATCACATACACAGACAACACAAACATTACATCATACATGGATGACGGGGGTGAGGGGTGAGGCGCTGTGAAGATTTTTCGGACAGGGCGCCTAAAGGCCTAAGGCCGGCCCTTAACACAGTAAAGGAATTTAAGCATGCGTGGGGTAGGCATAAGGCTATCCTAACTATAAGATAAGGCTAGGGACTAATGAAAGTATTTAGAAAATTGGGCAGACTAGATGGGCCGAATGGTTCTTATCTGCCGTCACATTCTATGTTTCTATCCTCACTACAATTTATACTCCTTTGAAAGAGCATAAAATTCCACATAAGCATTGTGCTAGCAGATTTGCAAAGAGAAAAACCTCTATGACTCTGTCAAAGAACTGACTGACAAGGCAGAGCAGAAAAAACCTCCCATAGGCATAGAAAGGCCTAACCGGCTGTGCTAGCGCTGACAAGGAACAGACTAACATCACTCCATTCAGAATGCTGACAAGGAAGCCATATCGATGTCAAAGAGGAGGTTTTTTTGGGAAAGCGTCCCCCTAGAATGGCAATTCAAAGAACACAGCCAAAGGATCAAGGGGGTCTAAAGTGGATGTTACAAGAAGATTCCACCCACAAAGCTCGCAACATGGTGATTGTAGAACGGAGGTAGGGTGAGTAAATGGCAATATTTTACAGTGAATACATCATGCATCTCTATATTGTGTGATGTGTTCAATGTATTTAGAGGCGATTTAGCTAAATTTGGAAAAGGCATAACAGGCTCTGTTTGAACGAATTAAACCTTTTCATACTGAAACTCGGTGCTTCCATCTTAGCTCCCTGTCAATCATTGCTATGAGCTCTGGTCTTTGAACCTGGCAATTATCGTAAACAAAGCACATGGAGAAGAGGAGAAATTATATGTTTCCATTAATCTTCATCATTTGCATTGTGTGCCTTGGCTGTGCCTGCACCATGCTGTAGTGGTTATGGTACTTGGAGTATTCATTTCATTTTAAAACTCAGTGAATTTTGGTGAATTGAAGCCTGTCTAGTGAATAAACCCTTATAGGTTATTGCACAGCCAGGTTCCAGCTACCTACAGTTTGAGATCTCATTCAATGATATATCCTAATGTTACCATGTGAGATTTTGAAACATTATCTTTTTATCTTGTTTTTTTTATTGCTGATGAGAAGCATTTTTTTATAACTGCACACACTTTCCAAAATTATTACATATATTTATTCTCTAAATACACACAAGCAATCTACTTCGATTTGTTTTGCACTTTTTGCTGCACTATTATCGTCAGTGTGTTTTTTTACTAAATCATTCATTGACTGGAATTCACCAAGGAACTCACAGTTTAAAGGTCAAAATAACTGAGCTAGTTTGGCAAATTTTGCACCCCAAAATTTAATTCCATGGTTGATTCACAATAATCCACAATATAATGAATAATTGTGTCTGTTTTCATTTCTTACTCTTTTTTTTACAGCACCGAGTGCATTGCATCTCCCTTTTTGTTTGTGTCCAATATCTGATAATACATTTGTGTGTACTTCAGTGATTTACAGTATTGCTTCCTGGTATTCTTACACCTTCAATTCAAAACAGCAAAAAACAAAAAACCAGTGTATTTATAGAACATTTATTAGCTGCTAATCTGGTTAATCTGAGAATGTGTGTTCAAACACAATGAGTCATCTAGGAGAAAAAAAAAAGTAATAACATATAAAAAAGGAAATTACTATAATTAATATATGGAATAAATGTTCTTTTCATTTATGTGAATTATCCACTACCAATTTGAGGAAGACCAGAATGCTTTTCTGATGTTTAAAGGGACACTCTGGTTTTGATGCCAAGATCCTATCCATTTTTTCTGACAAAGTAAAATATGTCACCATGAATACTCATAAAGAGTCATCCGACAGGTGCAGAGTGGTAGGTGCCCAGCATGTGCCTTAGGTCACCAATCCTTCTCTATAAAAGCATTTATTTCAACCCGAGATTATCCATGATGCTAATTTCAGTAGAGGAGGAGAAGCTGTTGGGAGGCGCTGGATTACCTAGTGGCAGTTGTTTGTTATACAAGGAGGTAGTCCTGTATCAAAACGGATTGAGGAACTCTCTAATATTAAAAATCAATACATTTATTTTCAGTGTTAGGGTGTTCAGTGTATATTTATCGAATACATGCTTCTACTGGTAGTTCCACCATAGGACCTCTGCACGTTTGGTGGCATCATGAATTGAGATATTCTTTTTTCTTTGAGGCTTTTCATCTGCGTTTAGACAAGATTATCTGGTCCCTTGTTCTCTGTGGACCCTGTGCCTTTTCTCTCTCCCTAACCTCGTTTACACTACCTTCCTGTCAGTTGGACACTAAGTTAACTGGAACTTAGGTGCAATTTAGTACATCTCCCTTTTTTCAAGTTATACTTTTTGTTTGCATATCCTTTTTATCCTTAGATTGATTAAAGTTACAGTGCAGCAGTAATGCAATACATATATTAGCAAAATTTAAAGGTGGTAAAAAAGAGAAGCCTAACAGCTTTTTCATTTCATGCTCTGTGACTCTTAATTACAGCTGTGTGCATATATAATAGTCGGAAAACCCTCAAGATTTATGTTCAGAGAGGAAGAGAGCTTGAAGATTGGATTAATTGGTCATTAAGAGGCATGCAGATGCTGTGCTCAATACCCTTTTTAGAGATTTATCTATTGGTATATTAAGGTATGCTCACTCCAGTGTCGTCTTTAATATTGATTGGACCCTGGGCAAGAATTTACTTGGGCCCCCTCGATCCCGCCCTTCCGCTCCCTATCATGCAATCACACCCTCCACCCCAACACACACAAAAAATTGCACACACCTTGTGCACCAGTAAAATTTAATAATGTAAACATAGCTCCACAGTAATGTACAGCTTATCAGTGTAATGCATTGCTCCACAGCAGTACAACTTACAGTAATGTGCAGCATTATCTGTCACAGTACACCCTGCAGACAGCAAGGCATGGCCAGCCCTTTAAGAGACCTGCCTGGCTTTAGAACTCACAGCTCTAGCATTAAGAGAGCTGCCTGGTTTTGAACTCACAGCTTCCGAATCCCAGTCTGGTTCTCTACCATGCTGTCCACCAAGTGGCTCTGGTATCTGTCTGCATTATTCTGCTTCCTGACTCCTTGCCTGGATGGAGCAGTGCTGATCCACCTGCAGCCCCAAGTATGTTCAGCTGCTCCTAATCAGCAGGCTGTAAAAGCCAGCTCTGCCTGAGGCCTAATATCTGGTCATTTTGTTTGTTTGGTGTTTCCTGCCAGAGCTTTGTTACTCTGCTGACTGATTTCCTGGACTCGGGCCTCTGGCCTCGGCCTGCCTTACTGACTACAATACTCTGCTGCCAGCCCTGATTTCTGCTTCTCATCTGACCCTGCCTTTGAATTACCCCTTTATCTGTACTGTGTTTTTGGTTTTTGCCTTCTCCTTGTGCCATCTCCTGCAACTGGGCTCCAACTCCTGTTAAACTGTTACAATATCAGTTTATTGTATGGCTCCACAGCAATACAACACACAGTAACATACAGCTTATCAGTGTATCGCAAGGTTCCACAGCAATACAACTCACAGTAATGTATGGCATATCAGTGTATCGCATAGCTCCACAGCAATACAACACACAGTAATGTGCAGCTTATCTGTGTATCGCACAGCTCCACAGCAATACAACTCACTACAATTGGGGAAGAGATCTCTCATCTTTCTTCTTTCCCTTACAATACTTCCGCTACAGCGGAAGAGGTTTCTGCTCTGCTCCAGTCCTCCCGCCCCACCACCTGCTCCCTAGACCCAATTCCCTCACATCTTATCCGTACTCTGTCTTCTTCTCTTTCTCTACCTCTCACTAAAATGCTCAATCTTTCTCCTTCCTCTGGCATATTTCCATCGCCCTTCAAACATGCAACTACAACCCCAATTCTAAAGAAGCCCAACCTTGACCATAACTCCCCATCCAACTACCGTCCTGTCTCGCTACTGCCTTTTGCATCCAAGATCCTTGAAAGACTTGTGTATGCGAGATTGACAGACTTCCTTGAGTTTAACTCTCTGCTAGACCCGCTTCAGTCTGGTTTCCGTGCTAAGCACCCTATGGCAACGGCACTGACCAAAGTATCCAATGATCTACTCGCTGCAAAATCTCGTGGTCACTACTCTATCCTAATTCTCATTGACCTGTCTGCAGCTTTTGACACTGTTGATCGTCAACAGCTTCTTCTCATCCTCCGCAATATCGGTCTACAACATATTGCTCTCTCCTGGTGCTCCTCCTACATCTCCCAGTGCTCTTTCAGTGTTTCTTTCTCTGGCTCTGCTTCTTCTCCCCAACTCCTCTCTTTTGGTGACCTCCAAGGTTCAGTCCTTGATCCCAAACACTGGACTAGGAAGCACCTCTAATGGCCATCTGATGAATGGCCACTAGAGTTATTCCTAGGCAGTAATGTAAACACTGCTTTTTCTCTGAAGTGTCCCTTGCATATTCCTGTGTACATAAATTAACCCCTTAGTGATCCCACCCTAGTGTTGCCGTGACACCGCCTCAGCGTGACGTCACAGGGTGCATGTACATTACAGGGCAGGGGAGGTCAGGAGGAGCAGCAAGTCCGTACTACACTATGTTGTGATGCCGCTTGCATTGTGAAGGATCGGATCGGGAAGCAAAATATTTTGCAAAATGTTGTGGCCAGCGGCCGCGGGGCTCAAGATGCAGCTACCTTGGGCCCCCCAGGAACAGCTGACCCTTTCGCCCCTCGTTAAAGACAGCCGTGGCTCACTCAGTAGCAACTTTATTTAGTAGATCATTTTAATATCAGATAATATCCCCATTTGCTTTAGAATAGCAAGAATTATTCAAGGAATTAATTCAACAAAATGCTGGAAACATTCAACAGAGATTCTGATCCGTGATGACATGATAGCGTGGTGTTACGCATTTGCTGCAGATTTCTCAGACATGGTGCAGGGACGTATTAGCTGCGAGGCAAACAAGGCATTTGCCCTGGGTGGCATTTTCCATGGGGTGCAAAAAACGCCGCCCCAAATGCCTGGGCAAATGCCTTGTTAGCCTGGCAGCTAACAGTCCAGGCAGGTGGTTGTCCGGCTAAAAATCCGGGCGGGCGGCACTGGCGAGGGAGCACTTTCCCCTGAGCTCTCTGCTCAGCTCCCTTGCGCGCCGCAGAGTGATGCTGGGAGCCGGAATATGACGTCATATTCCGGCTCCCGGCATCATTCTGTGGCGCGTGAGGGAGATGAGCAGAGAGCTCGCTAATCAGTGCTCCCTCGCCAGCGCCGCCCGCCTGGATTTTTAGCTGGACAACCGCCTGCCTCCCTTCCTGTGAAAAGCCCCACTGGACCCCAGGTAAAAATAAAATCCACCCAGCACTCCCAAAGGTAGGGAGGCTTGGTGGATTTAAAGTAAAAAAAATAATAATAAAAGTAATCTGTTAATGTTTGGGGAGGGGGGCTGTCAATGTATGTATGTCTGAGTGATTGTGTATGTATGTCTGTCAGTGTGTATGTGAGTGATTGTGTATGTATGTCTGTCAGTGTATATGTGAGTGATTGTGTATGTATGTCTGTCAGTGTGTATGTGAGCAATTGTGTGTGTCTGGCTGTCAGTGTGTATGTGAGTGCTTGTGTGTGTCTGGCTGTCAGTGTGTATGTGAGTGATTGTGTATGTATGTCTGTCAGTGTGTATGTGAGTGATTGTGTATGTATGTCTGTCAGTGTGTATGTGAGCGATTGTGTGTGTCTGGCTGTCAGTGTGTATGTGAGTGATTGTGTGTGTCTGGCTGTCAGTGTGTATGTGAGTGATTGTGTATGTATGTCTGTCAGTGTGTATGTGAGTGATTGTGTATGTATGGCTGTCAGTGTGTATGTCTGAGTGATTGTGTGTGTCTGGCTGTCAGTGTGTGTATGTATGTCTGTCAGTGTGTATGTGAGTGATTGTGTATGTATGTCTGTCAGTGTGTGAGTGATTGTGTGTGTCTGGCTGTCAGTGTGTGAGTGATTGTATGTGTCTGGCTGTCAGTGTGTATGTGAGTGATTGTGTATGCATGGCTGTCAGTGTGTATGTGTGTGTGTGTGTGTCTGTCAGTGTGTATGTGTGTGTGTGTCTGTCAGAGTGTGTTCAAGTAAGAGTGTGTGTATGTCATTGTTTGTCAGTGTATATGAGAGTGTGTGTCTGTCAATGAGTGTATGCGTCTGTCAGTGAGTGAGCGTCTGACAGGAAGGGGGGGTGCCCAAGCACCGTCCTGCCTAGGGCAGCCCAAATCCTAAATACACCACTGACATGGTGGCATAGCATTATGCCGTCGCTGCAGATTTCTCAGACATGGTGGCATAGCGTTATGCTGTCGCTGCAGATTTATCAGACATGGTGGCATAGCGTTATGCCGTCGCTGCAGATTTCTCAGACATGGTGGCATAGCGTTATGCCGTCGCTGCAGATTTCTCAGACATGGTGGCATAGCGTTATGCCGTCGCTGCAGATTTCTTTGCTGCACATTCACTCTGTAAATTTCCTGTTCCATCATATACAAAAGGTTCTCTGTTGGACTGGGATCTGCTGACTGTGTGACTTTGAGTACAGGGAAGTCACTGTCATGGTTTGTGGAATCAGCTTTAGATGACTGAGTGCATATAGATTGTAGCGGCCATAAATGGATACTGTTCTACTCCTATTATCTATATACTGGACAAGGGGCTTGTGGCTGCCTTCCAGAATTGGGACTCTGATCAATCTCAGGCAGCCCAGGGCATTAACGTCCCAGTACTGCTCTAAGAAGGAAGTAACTATAAGTGAGTTGGTGCATGTGTCTGTAAGACTCTAAGGATAATTCACTAAATACATTTTGTCTAGATAGCAAAAATGTGAAATACAAGGAAACAAAGAATAAAGCATGAGAGCGCCTTCATAAAAAGCTTTTGCCATCAAGAAGCTCATACGGTGCTGAACCGTCGTGGGCAAATATGGATCTAATTTTAGGAGCTGTATTTATTGCTTGCGCTGCCAGTGAGCTAATAGTTTGAAATTTTGGAATGTGAGTCTGGATCTGAATTATCTGGTACCAGATCTGAACAGTCCAGGTCCAAATCTCAGCAGTCTGGCAGTGCTCGGTCCAGCTGAATCATGCACCATATTGAGGCTCTTCCAACGTCTACACTGCAAAATTTGTACATTGTTAAATAACGTGAACAACGTCTAGATTTTGCAATGAAAATGGCCCCATATACCACTGGAAGGCTATTAAGTGCAGGGCCGTTCAAAGTTTTGTGCATAAACCTGTCTGTCTTTATATGTTTGTGTGTATGTGCATCCGTGTGTTTATCCCTGTTTGTTGTATTCACAGTAGCACAATCACTGTAACAGAATTTTATAAAAATATGGATTTTATCGTGATGCCCCCACAACCTCCTAATGGTATTATATTCTTATAATGCACAATTCACTGCTATGTGCATATAAATCTATATTTTTAATTTACATTTATTGTAAAGCTCTAGGGAATATGACGGTGTTGTGTTAAAAATAAATTATCCTAAACATTTATTCCCCATCCAGTATGTAAATGAGTCTATAAAATTCATGTACCATTTTTAGTGCTATAAAATTTACTGGTTCTCTGTTAACAACCAGTAAGTTATTGCTGAATGAACCTCATTTATGATATCTAACGCCGTGCATTGAAATTACTGTGAGCATTCGTCATAAAATATTGTACTGTGTAAACTAACAGGGTAATTCACTATAGTGAGAATTCAAGGTGAATTCAATGTGAATTTTAAATTTAAAGAGACCTCCAGACCCCTAAAGCACTTTAGCTTGCTGAAATGCCTTATATCTAAAGAGTAGGTCCCCTTTTATTAATTTAGCAAAAAGTGCAGATTTATATAGAAATTGCCACTTTTATCAATTATCCTGGTTGCACCTCCTGGCTTTTAAGCAGACAACTGGTCCTGTTACTTCCTGGCTTGGTTAGCTCAGTGGAACTAAAGTCAAGAGGCAGCAATTGCTCTGAGCACCTGCCTTGCAAAGAATTCTGATTGAGCTGCATTGGGAAGTCTGTGATTGGACAGCCACAGAAAGTCATTCAGAAAGTGAATGAATAGAGTCAGGGCCTAATTACAGAATCTTGCCTTCAGAAAATAGTGAAACAGTTATATCACCCAAGTGTCCTGTATCTGGTTGAAGTGGTGTTGGAGGGAAACTCACAGGATGCATTTATGAGAATACATACACGCAATGCTAACCTCTCACTTTCTATCAACCAAATGTGTATCAGGCAACACCAGTTTCGTCTCGCTGGTGTGCAGGATAAAAGGAGGTGGACCAGAGATGCAAATTACATCACTTGCACCACACAAAGGGGAGGCCCGCCTGGTCTGCCTGAAGATTTAGAGGGATAGTGCGTAAATACACACCAGGCTGGACTCCAACCACGCGGCCCAGTCAACTAAGGGTATATTATGCAGACAGCGCTGTTTCAGCAACCTGAGCTTGGTGGAAACACAGCTAATGAAGGACTAGCGCTTCACTTTTGGGTACAGTTCCCTGGTGTCCCATATCATTCACTTGCCCACTCCTCGTCCTATCAGCAGTCAGTCTGGGACAGTGAGAAAGGTGGATGTACGCCACACTGCAGAGAGACGAAAGCAGCAAGAGCATTTGCACAATGTGCAAAGTCTGCTTTCTGCTAGCTTTTTTATAGTCTGACAGGCCACTAGTTTGTTCCCCTGCATCCGTTCTAAGTTCCCATACTTGATTCTCTCTGCACAAAGCAAGAAACCTGAAGAATAGTACAAAAATAAAATTATATATATTGCCTTTCATGTTTGAAACGGAATGCTGAATTAACTAACCCAAAATCCTCTGCTACAAACCTCTGGGGTATATTATCATAGTGGCTTCATGAAATACATCCTATGGACCAGAAACTCTGATATCCAGATTGTGTGAAGATCACAGTAATTGGTATTTATCAACAACTAGCGAGCTGCAAGTCTTCGCTGTTTTCCTGTGTTATTCAAGCATTAAGTATCTAGGCATTTATGTAGCCATTAAAGAAGGCAGTTTCTCAATTCTCCAGCTTTCATTGAGATGGTAAATTAGCATTTGAATGAATCTGTTAAATGCTTCTGTTGCTAGTTATTTTTCCAGGAAATGCATTAAGGACGACAAAGAAAATTTCTAATTTCTGTTTCCAGATAGATCATGAAACCTTCCAAGTATGTTAAAAAAACAGCTCAGAGATGGAAAGACAATTATAATAAAAAAAATATAATATAAATCCATTGGACAATTTGTGAAAAATTAACAAAATATATTTATAATGGAATCAATCAAAATTTACAATAAAAAAAATGGTTAATAAAACGTACATAAAATACAAAACAATGTACAAGTATTCTCGTTTTCATTCGTGATCCCGAATTTTGCCTGTGACGCTAAAAAAAGAGATGAATGACGGGCAAAAAGATTTTAAATGGCTAGGGGACATGCACTAAATGTTGATTTTATTTACAGATCTAGTGAGAGGTGCCCAGCAGAGAGAAAAAAAAAGGAGGAGTATTAGAAAAACAGATCTATGTTTGTAATAAATATATGAATATAGATTTATGTTTTTTACTGCTCTTATTCCCTCTACTGGTTACCTTTTCTCACTTGAACCAAGTGGTAGGAATATCATTATATATTTTGCAGTACACTGATTTGCCCATTTTCAATTCTTTGTTTCGTCTAATTCATTTTCCCAAATTTTTCACGTTAAAATTCGGTGATGCCGAACTGCCACATGGCCAAAATTTGTCAGTAACAGTTTTTTTTAATTTTTTTTAATTTTCAGCAGAAGTGATTTGGTTGAATTACAGTTTTCCATCACTTACAAGTCTGTAATGTATCCATGTACTGGGCAAGAGGCTTGTGGCTGCTTCCCAAACAGAACAAAACACCCTAGGACAAGCATCAACTGCGCCTAAGCAGAAAATGCTGAGTCTCTGAAAATTCAGAGCAAAAAAGACATCTTTCTCAACCCTATGAGTTAGAGATCCAGTGAAATGCACAATTTAGCCAATTTAGCCAAAGAACGACTGTTCAGCTGGAATTCAGTTAATAGGGAAATAAGGTACTGATGCAGTCATTTGTCTCTTGACTTGTGTGTTCAACGGTCATTCATTAACCATTCACTCAATTGTCTTCTTATTCCCTTTACATGTTAGCAGTGGCTGCAATTAGCCTTTTAATTCTTTCTGACATCACCTCCAAATTCCCCCTGCTACGCTTTTGTCTCAACTCCGTATTTAACCACTAGAGTGTAAGCTCACAGACTACCTAGCAAAGTACTCTGTATAAAATAGCTCTGATAGCTAGATATCCGCTTGAGGGGCCCTCTCTACTTTTCGTACTGGCCTTTTTATATTGTACTGTATTTTTCCCTAACTGTGCAGCGCGGTGGAATATGTTAGCACCTTATAAATGTCAGTAATAATATAAAAAATTATAATAATAAGGAGCATAGAGAGCTCACATTCTGGAAAAATGTCAGCCCCAGGGACATAGCAACAGTGGAGGACAGAAGGAAAAAGAGCCTTGTGTATCGTCCAACAGTTTTTTTTCAGGGAAAAAAGTGAGGGATAATTGCTAATTAAATACATTTCTCAATCTTACAAGTTACCTTCATCATTTCAATCAAACCATTAAGCCCTTCTGTTTCTTCTAATTATTTTTTCGAGGAAATACATTAAGGATGGCAAAATTCTCTTTCTAGATAGATCTTCCAACAATGTTGTCTGCACAGATATTTTAAATCAATCTCTGTTAAAGGGATGGAGATACCAGTGAATTATCAACAAGGCACTACTGACTGATGCATCAATTAAGTATGAAAACTGAATGTAACAGGATTGTTGCTGGTTTTAACCTGCTGTACAGTCCAAGTCACATACAGTAGATTTTCTCTTGGAGTTAGGTCATCTCAAATCAGTTACTGATAGCACATGGTGTGGCTAGAAGTGACCGTTGTGTGTCTGAATGGTAATAAAAAAAACACACTGGGCACCGAGTACTATAGTAAATTGCACTGACTGAGGCCTTGCGACCACCTAACTCACCTTAGGGAAGAATAACCCGTCGGGCCCTCAGTCTGTGACCAAGGGTCCGACAGCGGGAAGGAGCCCTGCGGCTTGCACTGTATGCCACCGGGTGAGTCTGCAGCTCTGATGGGTGCAGAGTTTCAGACCTTGTAGTAGAGGTCTTGCAAAACTTGGCCAATCAAAGAGTTGCCGTGGATTACCATGGTAACGCTTTGACGCACTTCAAATACCGGAACTCTACCACATGGTTAGTTTGCACACGGTAGAGTTACAGACTGGATCCCAAGGCCATCAGACCAACAAGGAGTGAGACCACTGGACCAGCAGGGTAAAAATAGTATTTCAGTGTTTGGAGGCTGGTCACACACACACTGTCAGCCCCTCTACATTCTCAGCCCCTCATACACGTTCCCTACACACTGACCCCCCACAAGCTGTCACCCCAACACACACTGTCACTCCCCCACACTGTCAACCCCCACACATTGACAGCCCTCTTATCCCAGCCACACTCACATTAACCCTTCCTAATCCTGTCACTTTCATCCCCTCCAACCGTACCACACTCACCTGCCTTCATTCTGCCACGTTGGCGTTAGTTCATATGGCAGATCATATAGGTGGGGCATTGTGATGTCACATGGTGGGCAGAGCATATGGGGGGTGGCAATTTTTTTTGCCTAGGGAAAAATCCGGCCCTGTTCACACACAACACTCAGCCAGCACACTCAGCTTCCCCCTATACAGCTCTCCACCTCCACATGAACACAGCAATCAGTCTCTCCCACCACACAATTAACACTAATAGAAAGAGTCCATGGCTCTAGGAGCGGAATCCTGCCTAGGGCCCTGGGAAATCATATACTGGCTCTGTGCACATTCCATTTATTCCTGTTTATAGAAAGACAAAAAGTAATTACCTGCTAGATGCCCATCACAATGGAGAACAAACTGAAAATGGATAAAGTTCTAATGGAGCATTAGATTGTTTTTTACAACAGACATGATATATGAGCAGGTTATCACATGAAATCTGGGATTTTGCTAACATTCTGAATAAGAAAACGTTAATTTAGAAAAAGGGCTAGGTGGCACTCAGTATCCATGTAAGTGTGTTTAGTTATTGAAACCTGATATGTGTCTTAATCTGCTAATACAACTGATAATACATTGAAATAATCGGGATTCAAATATAGTTGGAGAATTAGAGCATGTGTTATACATTGGTCATAAATATGACCATCATAAATTCATCATCTCATTTCATCTTAGTTACAGAAATACAACAGCTGGGGCTATATTTATCTCATAGGTTTCATCCCTGCACGCTCTAGGTGAGCAAATGTCATCCGGAGAAAGACAAATCCCTTTTATATGAAAGTGTAATGATGTGGACTGTCACTGGACATCGTCACTGTGATCCCCCTAAATCTTGTTTGTACCGCACAAATTACATTTCTAGAAACAAGGTGGCCAGGTCGTATATAAGATTAAGTCGAAAAACCTTTCCATGGAAACCAGATTCTCTTGTTAAGTGAAATTCTTTACCTGGCAGAGATAGAGTCAACATTAATAATAGTTATTGCAGACTAGTGATTTACTCACTCCTTAGGGGCTGTTAGACAACATCTACCAAGATCCTCTGCAAGCCAAACAGAGAATTAGGGAAGTTGTGGTCCATCGTGAAGGCCTAAGACGAGACATTTCTGCTATATATAGATTTGAAATTTTTGAAATAATTCCTTTTTGAAAATAATCATTATATTATTTAATTGTATAATCATTTTATTTTAAACAAAACATGAGAAATTGAGGGAGACATTTGGTAAAATGTGATATTAAATACCGAGCCTTATAGACATCCAGATGTGTCCTTTGGTTTGGACCTAAGTAGCACTGGAAGGGACATTGTGGAAGCCTAGCTCCAGTAAATTGTACCGCAAGTGCTAGTCATCTGGATGATACCTGCAGCTTGTGGCTTTAGACATATAAAATGGGCAACCCATGCTCTACATACCTTACATATCTCCCTCTTTCTAGGAATTGTGAATACTGTCGCTTCTCTGGTTTCACAGACCAGCTCCATTGCATCACATTATAATTGTGAAAGGGATGATAAATAGGTGGGATAGGTGGGCAGGCATGTCACTATCTAACTACCTCCAAAGACAGATCTTATCAAATGCACATACCTGTCACTGTCTCCAAGTCCCCTGACCCCTTGATCTGGGGCATTTGAAGTTGATTAATATATGTGTGTGTGTGTGTGTGTGTAATGTGTATATCTGCGTGACTGGGCAAAATAAATATATATATATATATATATGTAAATGAGGATATAAAGGAAGCTTTCTGTGGGAGATGAGGTCTTGGTGGGTTTGGCTAGAAAGTATTAAGGTTGTGAATGTATGTTAACTTGCCACAATACTGGCCATTTGGTTGTACCTGACCACCAATATGCTACCATTCCCTTAAACATTCTTATATCAACAAGAGAAAGGAAGGGTTTTCTTAACTGAGCATGTAAATGCTGTGTTGAAGAGACTGTATGCGGTTGGGTTCACTGGAGACTGTGAGATTATTCTTCCAGGTTGTCCCACTGATGGAGTCCTTTTTCAGTCTGGTGGAATTTGAAGCAATATTTTGGGTCTCGCAAGCTTTCTGAGAATTCCGAGGGACTATGCAAGAGGAATGCAACGACAGACATGAGCGGGACCTCAGTGACTCGAGTTGACCAACTGTCACACAATTCAAGAGGGCAATGACTGCCACTGGAAGTAGGAAGGACACAAATACATTCACCTGGAATAAAAAGAAAACACTATATGAAACAGATTTAAATCACTTAACTGCCAATATTAATTATGTGTTGTACTAAGACTTTATCATATGGTACCACTGGCTCACAGTTAAAATTAATTTAACTAAATTACTAAAAAACATAAAATAAAGAAATGATGGTAGAAAGAGACACAGGAAGAGCATGAATGATGGACATGCTATTATGGGTATACTAATCTCTGATATTAATTATCATTTATTTTAAGAGATACAATCTTTCCTATAATTCCTTCACAGATCACAGTTTAGGAAGGTTAATACCCTCCAAATAAATATGACTGTTTTCGTAGTATCCTCTTTCTCTACTTTGTTACTGTTACTGTCCAAAACCATATGGACTGCACTGCATTTATTTTGTTTTGTAGGACAGAAAAGAGATAAAGGATTATTCACTAAAGTGTGAGTTGCTGGGAATCCAAAGTGAATTAATAATGAATTTCATATTTTCAAACAAAATAGCCTACTGATTGTAGTTCATCGTGGAAACAATTATATCAATCTTGTGGACCAATACAAAGTATTTTCAGAGGATCCGAATAACCTGCAGTATTTTCAGTGAAATGCTGCAGATACCTAGATGATATTTTATGTTCCTTAATTGGCCAAGAGTTTCGAGATTTCTAATGTCAATTCCGTCTATTCTTTTCAAAGAGGATCATTCACTGGCTGAAAGCTCTCAGCGAAGATCTTAGCCAGTAAATGAATTAATTGCAATATTGGCACCTGGTTCCAGCAACTCTGCAGACGTTAGATGCCACATCAGTTGGCATGAGGTGAAGCACCTGGACCCATGTAAGAGGAAAATCATGGCAAAATGGTTATTTTATTGGAAAGTGGCGCAAATGGTACCCCATGCATCATAGTCACTGCTGTTGTTATAATGTTCATAGTAACACTTTAAATAGACACTATTATAACAGAGGATTGTTATCCAGTATATATTTAAGCATGATCTACATTCCTACATTTAAGGGGGAAAAAATGTATTTTTTATTGTGTAAATATGTCAGACTTGTCAGTTCAATTTATGGTGTTTAGCAATGCGTATCTTTTTTATATTGTAATGATAAAACTGTTTTGCAAATCTCTCTTATCTCTGAGTTTTAAGGCAGTTAAATCAACATATCTTAGATAATAGGGGTAGGGTATGTATAAAGAGCAACATTCTAATGATGGAGCAATCAGCAGGGAAATTCATTTGGTTTCTATGGTGATTGCCTGACATTAAGTATTTTATTCCCGAGCTGTCCTTAATAAATAACTCACAATGAGTTTGACAGCACTCCCCCTGACTTGGTAGTTAGTAAAAAAAAATATTTTAAAAATAAAAGATTGTACTGTTTTTTGCTCTAAAACCTATGTTACAATACCATAGACCATATATATATATATAATACATAAATATTATTGTAAACATATTTTATGGTTGTGACCCGATAATAGATAGAAATCCGTGGATCATAATCATTTGGAAGTTCTACATTGCTGCATCAGTCCATTTAGTTATAATAAGTGCTATGGCTCTAAGTTTTGTATCCATGGAAACAAAAGTATATATAGGTGTACAACGTGTGGGCGTAATGGTCAGTATAGATATATACTTTTTTACATACATTTTTCTCTACTTTAAAAGTCAAATGATATACAAATTTTATTTTAGTGATAACTCGATTTAATTAAAGAGCCATTTAAAATTAGCTATATATTTTTATTTTTTTTCCTGCAAAATAAAAATGTATGTTAAAGTTATGAAACGTGTCTGTTGTGTTTTTATCCCTACTAGAATCCCATATTTTTTTAAAGAACGCAGGTAATGATAATGTAGGAAGGTACTATAACAGTTGTGTTTGAAAAGATTCTTTATATTTTGACCCAATACAAATCTGTTAGCTTGCAATTTGAACTTGCTGACTTTTAAATAAACAGATGGTACTAAACTAAGATCATATATCTTTGTGCTATAAATATAAAACTTCCTTGAGCAATCTAAGTAAAAGTGGACATGTCCCATAATTATTTACATACACTGTATGAAGAAGCAACTAAATCATGCAAATTCCTGAGGTTTTCTGTTACCTTGGAAATAATCAATTTTCCATGGGAACAATTGGTCCCTCTGTGAAAAAAAGAATACTATGAGGAATCCCCATAACTGGAAAGAGGCATGACACATGACTATACCCCTACAAAATAGGCAAAGAGTTCCCATAGCATCCTTCTACCGAGTTCCAGGAACATAACATCTTTACCATACCTCCCAAGTGCCCCTATGTAGGAGGGATAGTCCCTATTCCGTGAGCTCAATTTTTTTTGCTATTTCCGAGTGTATAAAAGAGCTCCACTGCAATAATATTCACAGTAATATGTATTTAAACAACAATAAATGTTTTTAGACATCAGAGTGTGTACATAAACTACGTCTATACGTGGTATAAACTGTTATTAGTAAGTCACCTAAAATGTCTCATAACAGACCTGCCCCTGGCCACACAAATTAAACTGTTCCTCTTTGTCCAATTGAAATATTGGGAGGATGTATCCCTTGATCGTTGCCGAATCACGATGTGCACTATAACAAATGGCAAAAAAAGCCCACATTCAGAACTGTATGTAACCTTATTTTATCTTTTATATTACAAAATTTTATTTTATTTTATTAATTTATTTTATTTTTAATTCAATTAGAGTTTGCGTTTATTTCACAACCAACTATCAGGAGGATTCTATCCTAAATTAACCTCCACCCTATATGCTCCAGATTGGGGTATATCACCTTAATGGGGATCAACCAAAGGCTGGTATCCCTTATTCTCATTGTGTTAATCCCACTGTTTACCCATTGGAAGATATGCTCCCACCCACGGCATGTTGGGTGGAGTAAAAGAAGGAAAACATTCTTCAGTAAATTGCATGAGGGGCTGTTTAGGTAATTTTTTTAACCTTTCATTGTGTAAACGAGAGCACGTCAGATGCCACATACTTAACTCTCCTAATTCTGAAAAAAAAATTTACAAAACTTTTTAAAACTATTTACAAATAGGTCCGATTTTTAAAATTCGGTACTGGATTTTCACAATCTGGTCGAGATTTTAATTATTTGTTTTCGGAATTCAGCCATTTGGTTGGAACATTCGTTCTAAGTCCCAGGCTCCATTATAAGTTTGCACTTTGAATACCCTTGGCTGGTTCCAGATTATTTTTTAATAATCTGGCACAGGTGTATTTGAATTTTGGTGAATAGCCCTACTGGTATTTAACATGTATCTATTAATTAACAGTGGGAGAATAATTAATAACGCATTTCCAGAACGCATTTTTAAGAAAGAAAAAACAAAACTCCCCCCAGGACTTCTTGTGAACTATTATGGCTCTGTCACCTCATGGTAAAGATCAATCATTCAGATTGAGTGGTCATGCTACTTTTTTCACCTTGATGTGGGATCTAGGCATCCTCCAGACTGCTTAGTAGACTAGCCCCCACAGGTGTGGACATTTCCTTGCAGGGGTAGACAACCTTCAACACTTCTGATGTTGTGGACTACATCTCCCACGATTTTCGTACAGCCATAATGCTAGCAAAGCATCAGGGAAAATTTTGTCGAAAACATCTGGAATGCTGAAGGATGCCTAGCCCTGCCCGGTGAAGTAGTGGTTGGGTACAATAAATGTAATTCGATTCATTATGATAGAGCATGCATACTGCATGTAGTGGGTGGGAAAAGAGGCAAGCTACTGGGCACCCTCATAGTCAATAGGGGACTTGCCACCTAAATACCCCGATTATATAGTGTGAAATAGGGTCTGTAGGTTTGCTCCTCGCTGCACAGGGTATTGTATCACTGCATTTAATAATTGCCCCATCTCATGGCAAGGACTGCCCTCTAGGATAGATTAATTCTCCTCTTACATGTAGGATAAGCGACTAGAGACTGTTACTAGGGATGTGTGCTCTCACCATAATAGAGGAACGAGACAGTACGGCAGATGTTACATTCTCCGACTACCGAAAAAGGAGACTTCTTGTTATAACCACCCTGCACACTGAGTGAGGAAAAAGGAGGGAGTGTGTGCCAGTGCCATTCATATTAATACATAAAAACCCCAACAAGGGGAGATAAAAATCAACAGGGGGTGTCAACAGGGAGGAGTGATGATGCAAAATTGCATCACTATTTATTATTATGTTATTATTTATATATTATGTTATTATTTATATAGCGCCATCAAATTCCGCAGCGCTTTACAATGGGTGGACGAACAGACATGTAGTTGTAACCAGACAAGTTGAACACACAGGAACAGAGGGGTTGAGGGCCCTGCTCAATGAGCTTACATTAATGACAGTTGCAAGAGAGGAATCAGTTGGGAGCTATTAACAGTTTAATTGATACGCTTTTATGAAGAAGTGGGTTTTTAACAATTTTTTGAAGGAGTGGAGACTGGGAGAGCATCTAACGAAGGAAGGAAGTGAGTTCCACAGGAACGGTGCAGCCCTCGAGAAGTCTTGAAGGCGAGCATCAGAGGTGGGAGTACGGACAGAAGATAGACGTAAGTCTTCAGCAGAGCGTAAGGGCCTAGACGGGACATACTTGTGAATTAGGGAAATGAAAATGCATTTATGAAAATGCATCTTAGAAGGTGGCATGTTCACCTGGGGTGCAGGAACATGGGAATGAAATTTTACTTGGATGGCCATTCTTTTCCAGGACTGCCATGCGTAGAGCACTGATGGCCATTCTCCCCCAGGACCCCCATGAACAGAGCACTGATGGTCATTTTCCCCCAGGACACCCAAGCACAGAGCACTAATGGCCATTCTCGTCCCAGGACCGATATGAACAGAGCACTGATGGCCATTCTCCCCCAGGACCCCCATGAACAGAGCACTGATGGTCATTTTCCCCCAGGACACCCAAGCACAGAGCACTAATGGCCATTCTCGTCCCAGGACCGATATGAACAGAGCACTGATGGCCATTCTCCCCCAGGACTGCAATGCCCAGAGCATTGATGGCTATTCTCCACCAGGGCTGCCATGCACAGAGCACTGATGGCCATTCTCCCCCAGGACCGCCATGAACAGAGCACTGAAGGCCATTCTCCCCCAGGACCGATATGAATAGGGCTCTGATGGCCATTCTCCCCCAGGACCGCCATGAACAGAGCACTGGTGATCATTCTCCCCCAAGACCACCATAAACAGAGCACTGATGGCCACTCTTCCCCAGGACTGCCATGAACAGAGCACTGATGGCCATTCTCCCCCAGGACTGCTATGCACAGAGCAGTGATGGCCATTCTCCCCCAGAACCGATATGAACAGAGCAGTGTTAACGCACCCCTGCTCTGGAAAATGCCCTGAGTTTGCAAAGCACAGTAGAAGCACAACTGTAAAGGTGCATCACCCAGAACAAAAAAGAGACAAAAAATTAGGACTGACCTGCAAAACCCAGTACAGATGTGAGGTAACTATATATCATACTATATGTATAAAGATTGACAAATACCAAAATGGCACCAGAAAATTATATAAGGAGCACATTGCAACTACAAATAGTGTATGTGCATCTCAAACAGTAAATAAAACAAACAAATAAATATGGAATACAACACACAACGTCTCTATAGTTAATAAATGTATTTATTTTACATGATGCTTGTGATATCCTACTTTCTGGTAAGACCTTTTCCTTACATACATATATTTATTTTTCTCTGCCAAATATTATTATAATATCTATTTAGCAAAGACTATTCCTGTTGTTTGATGTTAACAATTACATTTTCAGTTGAAGAATAAAAAAATAAAAAAAATTCTTAATAATGCAGTTTATACCAATAAAAACATTATAGCAAGTTATTGACTTGCCCCAAGCCCAGAGTACAATATATTACAGCTATACACCAGTGCATAACAGCGTGGTTATAAATATATATTAATTCCACATTTATTTTATTATGTGAGAATAAAAAGAAAAATAAACAAGATATAAAGATGAAATCTGAAAACGATCAGTGAAAGATATTTTATAGGTAAATTACATATTAGGTCACTAATACTAAACCCCCGGGGTTCTATGCTGTTTGTAGTGGTTCTCCATTGATCATGATAGGCATGACCTTTTCATCAGGATCCAGCAACTGCCTACTGTAAAGGGACTTATTCCTAAACATTGAACTGAAGCAAACTGACATATCAATTCCCTAATTCGGAATCAGACAGCTAATCTGGGCATATAGTTGGAGAATTTTTCAAAATCACTTATTCTTTCCCCCACATTTTGCCACTAATTGGTGTTTAGTAAATAAATCCCAAGGTGGTTACAGAAGCAGCATTGTCCTTTTTACAGCCACGGAGAATCCCCTGACACTGGGAAGAGGCTAATGAAGTTATTTGCAGAATATATTTTTTTGCATGTGTGTTTATGTGTGGTGTGTGTATATATATATATATATATATAAAAAAAAATTCGAAAATCCCCTGCACTCACGTCCAAAGTCCCTCCGCCGGGAGCAAACACCAGGGCTCCACGATACACAGACTCCAAAGTGGCAACGGCTGCTCTCCGGTTTTAAAAAAAGAAGTTTTTATTGAATCATAATAAAAGCAATGACCAACGTTTCAGTCCCAGCTCGGGACTTTCCTCAGGGTCCAAAAAACAGAATAACCTTCTGTTTTTTGGACCCTCTTGGCTTCGTTTCGTGTCAACAATATGGTCAAAACTCTTTAAAACAGCTTCCATTACTACATCTCTCTATATATATATATATATATATATACTTTTTTTTTATAGCGCCAACATATTATGCAGCGCTGTACAATAGGAAACATGACAATCATCTAATTGTAACAAAACATATAATATATATGGGGTATATATATACAGAAAAACATACGTGATATAGCACTATATATCACACCTGAAAAATGGATCACTAAGCTAAGTTTACAAAAGTATTGCTTACAAGTATAAAACAGTCCAAAAGAGGCTAAAATAAATATGTTCTCTTACAAATTGCACCTGACCATTTTATGGATTTCACTAAACCTCGAATTAATTGCAATTGAGAGGGAGTTTGATATTGTTGTTCCTAGTGGTAGACTTGGGAGGTTTTTTTTTTGTTTCTATATTTTATAAAATACACCAACCTTGTGTGATGACAAATTGTCAATATGTTACTTACCACCAAGGCAAGCAATCAAGGTAAGGATATAATGCAAGAAAGGATATGGGGTTAAACTCAGTAAATGCATTTCTCACAAAAACACTATGGGAGGGGAAGGGGGTCATTTATCAAGGTAACACACGTGTCAATCTGGAGCAAATACATCTATTGGTTGTCATGGTGATTGCTCTTAATGTAGCACTTTGCACATGAATAGCAACTTTTTCTGCCTTGGTAAATCCTCCCCTATAGAGGTATAGAACATAGAATAATTGCGAGTTCTCATTGCTTGCTAAAAAAATAGCTGGAAAAAAGAGAGAGATTAAGAGGGAGAGAGGGGAGAGATTGAAAGAGAGTTTAAAACAGAGAGACTGAGGGAGAGAGGTGAGAGAGAAGAGGGAGAAGAAAGAGGGGAAAGCAATGAGGTCTAAAACTTAAAAGAGGAGAGAAACTGAGAAGAGGGAGGAGAGAGAGAAAAAGAGGGGAGAAGGAGGGAGAGTGGGGGAATAAAAGAGTTCTATAAAGATATTGGGTAGAGATGAATCTTTTTAGGAAGATACTTTGTATACCTGAATGAAGACTTTCAGGGTGGCAGTAGATACCAGGCTGGTACACACTAGGGATGATGGGTCTGGCTCTCCATCTGTATCTGTGCCCTTGTACTTCACTCCCATAATAAATGCCATGGGCATTGCAAACACCAAGGAGGTGATCCAGATGGCAGACAGGATCTTCTTGGTTCTCATCCTGGACATGATCCTCTTGGCTGTCATGGGGTGGCAGATGGCCAGGTACCTCTCACAGCTCAGGCTGGCGATGTTCAGGACGGTGGCATAGGAACACATGTCCCTGAGGAAGTAGTAACTCCTGCAGACCACGTCCCCAAACACCCAGGGATAGTGGACCCAGATGAAGTTGTAGAGCTCTATGGGGATGCTGATGAGCAGGATGAGGATGTCAGACAGAGCCAGACTCACCAGGTGATAGTGCACTGTGCTCTGCAGGCTGTGCAGGTTGTGCTTCTTCAGAACCAGGCTGATGGTCAGCACGTTCCCTATGGTGCCCACCAAGAAGATGAGAACATACAGCACAGTGATGACCACCTTGGAGGACCAGTGGGTGTCCACTCCCAGCTCCTGGGCCAGGTCACTGCTGGAGTTGGGGGCCCCAGAGGTGGAGGTGAGGTTAGCACTTGACCACAAAGCTCCTTCCATGATGCAGCAGCACAGCTACCCCCTGTCAGCAGGTTAGACAATGCTGACAAGATGTGCTGGAGGGATGGCCCTTCATCAGGTAGACATCAAGACGTCACTGGGTGAGCTCAGGCTCTCAGTGCAACAAATAGGCAGAGCTCACAGATCAGGTACATGGGAGAGGGGGATTATACTAGAATGGTGGATTACACCTAGAACTTTATATACTGCTCAGAACCATTAACACTGTCACTGCCTATAGGGCTAACACAGAGCATTACTTCCCCTTTTTATCTATCTATCTATCTAGCTATCTATCTATCCATCTCTATACACATGTACTCTCTCTCTCTCTGACTTACCCTGCCTACAGCATGTCTGGGTTACAGCTTTCTGAAATCTAAATGAATGGAGCTCCAAGCCTGTTACACTTCTATCGAATCAATGCTGGCATTAGCTGTACTGTACCAGAACACAGGTGCTCTAACATTGAAATGAAATGCAGCTCAATCAATGGCTGGTGGGAATGGAATCTTATTAAAAAGGGCAGCAGTGTTAATCACTGAGCAGTTAATTAGACTGGAAAAACAGGCATTTTATATCAATGTATCATTTTATGTTTAAAAAGCCTTAATGCTTTCCATTTGATTCTTTGAGATTCTCTGTGATACAATGTGCGAAGTTTCCCTTACATTTAGTACTTATTCTTTTTCATAAAATAAATAGAGATGTGAAATGCTTTATCTCACTAGATTTAATTGACATTTTATTCTTGGCTTTAGAAGAATAATACATGTATTTTTGGGGATATAAAAGAAAGAACCACAGGGATCAAGGCTGCATTTTTTATTTGTATTATTGTTACACAGGGTTGGTAAGTACTTTGAAACAATAATATTGCATTGTCGGATTTGGGTGATATCATATCTGAAAAGGTCTCAGTTACCAATAAATCACTGTCACAAACAATGGTTAATTCACTACAGATCAAATGTAAAAGCTGCAAAAATAGTCTGGGATAATCCGATGCCATTTGAGAGGCAACATTTAGCATAATTCACATAATTTATCAATTTTCAGATGCATTTAACCAAATTTAGTTAAATCTTGGTGTGCTTGTGTGCATCATAGAAATCCAAGTCCACTTCTAGTTCATTTAACCCGTTAAAGGTGCACTACACTGCCCCCCAAAAATAAAATCGCTGTTTAGTAAATATAATCCAATACAAGTTTGTGCATAGTCCTAGTGCCCAGTCCTTTCCGCCATCTTGAAATCTGCTGGTAGATTTCAAAACGCAGGTTAGGTCCCCAAGAACTAATTTTGTTCAAGGAAAACTCTGGGCACCATAACAACTCAATAGAAATCAGGACGTCGCTGGAGCTGGCTCACCTTCCAGTTTCCCAGTTTTGAGAAAACGGAAGGGCAGAGAGCCAAGGAGTCTCAGCGCTGGAGCAAAGTATATGAGTTTAAACCATTCGAGAGCGGTTTAACCCCTTAAGGTGAGCCAGCGCAAGTGACCTTCTGGCACCATAACAACTTCATTTCAATTAAATTGTTATGGTACTAAAACTGTAAATGCAGGACTGTCCTGGCAAATTCAGGACTATTGGCACCTATACATGAACAGTCTGGAATTTCTAATGAACAAAAATAACTGATTAGTTGCATTGGAAGAATTCTACAGCTTGGGTATAATCACAACATGTGACACCTTCAATTAGTCATTCTCTACATATATAAGTGACTATGTATATATCACAACTGGGACTACAACTGTCTTCACTTCCCACAACCCGGCTTCCAGCTCCTCTTTCTGTCCTTGGTGTTTGTCCACCTTCTAATATTCACGGTCACTCAGAATTCCACCACCTGATACATGCAATACAGATATTTGTACTAAAGCAAATAAATAGCGATTTCTGATAGTGAAGATTTAGGTGAAGGACTTCTTCAGTGAAAGACATTGTCTATTAGTTTCCCAAATGTCAGGGCAGATTGCATTCCCAATTCACAGGGTATATTACATTGACTTGCAATCATCTTGTCTTGCAGCAGAATGTATTTGCAAGAAAGGAGCCGATGAAACCCTGCAGTTTTGCTCACACAATTTACTGCTCATTGTATTTTTATTGGTAATTCACAGTCAATAGAATCTAATCAGTGACAATACAGGCAATTCAAGCGTGTACACTTCCCCTGTAATTACACTCTTAGAACCATTGTAACCCTTCGCTATGTGGAGCTGTTCTATAGTTTAATGCATTAATATATTCCAAACTAGCATTCCAAGGGTGATTTTACCATTTTATCTTTAATGTATTATATTCCTGATAAAAGGAATCTGCAAAAGGTTCAAACTGAGAATATTATTAACCACACTGCATACCAACCAAGTGTCCATATTAATGAGGGACAGTACCTATTTTGGGCACATAGCTCTCTATCCCTATTTCCCATCCTAATGTCCGTCTTTCCTAGGATTTTGTTATTCTGTCTGAGTTTATAATAGAGCTCTACAGCCATTATACTCCCAGTAATTTGTCTTTAAACTACAATAAATGCATTTAGAAGTCAGTCGGTGTAAAAAGATACATTGTTCTTGTTCTAAATTAAATTTAAGTTATATAAGTTATTATTAGTAAGTCACCTAAAATTTCTCAGAACAGCCCTACCCCTCCACTCACACCCATAAAATGAAATTGTCTCTCTTTGTCCATTTGGAATGTTGGGAGGTATGTCATGTTAGGAGTCCATCACCGGGCGTTTAGTGTGTAGCTCTCTGAGAATATATAGTCCTGCCAAGGGCGGATCCAGGGGGGGGGGGCAACAGGGCAATTGCCCCCCCCCCCCGAGATTCTCCCCTGCTGGCTAAAGCAGGGCTGGCATTGTCCAAGTGCCAGCCCTGCAATGTGCCTTCGCGGACCGGGACCAGAGGGGAGATCAGCGATCTCTCTCTCAGGTCTGCAGGCACTGTGATCGCAGCCGGCAGGGGAGGGAGGACCCAGGAGCTCTTACCTGCAGCTCCTGCGGGTCCTCCTCTCACGAGCACGGAGCGTTGCCGCGGCTACCATGGCAACGCTCCAAATCTCGCGAGCGTGAACGCTAGCCCTGGAGCGCTGCCTAGAGTTCACCTCACCACCACTGGGACCACCAGGGATCCAGAAATATCCCCCCTCCTCCCAGTAAAGGTAAGAAGGGAGGGGGGGGATATAAAGAATATTTGTTCAAATTAAATTTAAAAAAAAAAAAAAAACATAAGAAGGATTATAATATGTGTTGGCTTTTTAAAAAATGTAATTATTATGTATGTATATGGGGACAGTGTATGTGTGTGTGTGGGGGGGGGGAAGCAATGTGTGTGATAAGAAAGGTAGGGGGCTTTTTTTATAATCCCACACACACACACACTGTTCCCCCCTCCCACACACACACTGCCCCCCATACACACAAACTGCCCCCCATACACACACAATGCCCCCCATACACACACTGCCGCATACACACACACTGCCCCCCATACACACACTGCCCCACATACACACACTGACCCATACACACACACACTGCCCCCATACACCCTGCCCTCATACACACACTGCCCCCCATTACACACACTGCCCCCATAACCTTTGTACAGCGCTACGGAATCTGATGGCGCTTTATAAATAATAAAATAATAATAATAATACACACATTGCCCTACACATACACTGCCCCCCTACACTCACACATACACTGCAATCCTCACACACACACACTGCAAATGTCACACACAAATACTGACCCACACATACACTGCCCCCCTAACACACACACACTGCACCCCTGACATATACTGCCGCCCTCACTCACACACTGCAACCTTCACACACACTGCTCACACACTGTCCCCCTCACACACACACTGCACCCCTTACACATTGCACCACTCACACTCACCACTGCTCCTATGCCCTACTACAGCCCCATTTCCCAGCAGACCTCAGGTAAGTTGCCAAACTGTTCTTAAACAGTTTGACTACTTACTCTAGGAGAGGGTCCCGGCACTATTGACACCATAACCACTACACTGAGCTGTAGTGATTATTGTGCATGGATTATTTCTTTAAATAATCTACAAGTGCCCCTCCCGAAATCAGGCTCTGGATCCGCCACTGAGTCCAAGCTAGCATCCCCTATTCATAGACATGTGCAGTGGTTGTGCCATGTGTGAGTACCCCAATGTTTAGATCAGGCTTCGCCAAACTCCGGCCCTCCAGATGTCGCTGAACTAAAACTCCCATGATTCTCAGCCTATCTATTTTAGCAACATCTGGAGGGCTGAATTTTGGGAAAGCCTGGTTTAGATCATTGTCTTCTCTGGCCCCACTGTAATCTGTTTGCCTGCATTTATTGTATTCATTTTAGCGGATTGTGATCGAGGTGAATAACAAGAGGACGAAAACTGACTCAGTATCTAAATATACCTGTTCACATTAAATCACATTTTTTTTTTTTTAAATATCTTTTTATTAAGGCTGTTCAGTAAACAAACAAACCAGATCTCAATAACCGGGACTAACGCAGGGTCTAAATTCACAATTGAATACAGAGCAAGACACGCAGGCCTCTATTGTCACTAGGTATAAATGTGACATGACTTGTTTAGGAGGGAGGGGAAACAACAAAAACACAAACATAGCAAGGAACCACAGATATCGACTGTAATTCGGTTATGTTAAAATTAGGTTGTGTGTGACTTTGCTTCACATTTGGAACATTTCTAAACCTAAAGCACACAAAGCGGGTCATGCCAGGCAAGCCTCTCCCATTCAGGTACAGAACTGCCCTCAGTTAACCGTATAATGAAACAATTCAAACTATATCATACATTTGGACTCAATGACAGTCGCCAAAGTTGCCGGTCCATTTGGTAAGAGTATCAGTGTATCTGCCATGGACTTCCTGCGAGGCACTTCCTTCCAATGAACTAGCTAAGCAATGTCATTGTACCTAACTATGTTATTAAAGTCTGAAAACC